TTTAGCGGGTCAACGGAGCCAACGGAGCGAAGCCAGGCAGTGGGTCTCATCGTCCCCTGCCTCACCGCGACCCGAGGTCGGCGCGCCTCCGCCCCTGTTCGCATCGGCCTGCTACCCCGCTCTCGGGGGCCACCCTGGATCCGCGCGAGGGCGCACCCTTGCCCACCAGCGTGGAGACGTTCCCCCCCCGAGGAGCTCGCCGAGCGCTGGACATTCAGGGGCAGCGTTCATGAGGGCGGCATCGACTCAGGGGGGGCGCATCGACTCCCAATCGCCATTCATCGCCGATGCGGGCCCGATGGCCCGCCCCGCTCAGGAACGTGTGGGTTCGCCACCAGGGGGCTGACGCCGATCGATCGGCGACCTATCGTCGATTCCAGCCCGATGTTTTCCCACCCGAGCCGGTTACCCCCCTCCCCTTTTGCCAGTCCCCCTCAGATATTCATTTTTTGTGCTTGCCCTCAGGTGGGGGGTGCAGGGAAGCGTCCGTGTCCAGCGCTCCGCAGGAGCCTTTGGAGCAGGCCTCCGGGACCCCTGGACCCCCTCGACGGCTTCTCGGGGATCCGGCTTTCCATCTTGAGGTGCACCCTGGTGGGGGCTCCCAGAGACCGAGAAGGCGGAACAATTGTCCGTCATTTTTGTGTCACGACGCGAGATGTTACGGGGCCCATCCCTGCTTCGATCACCGCAGAGGGTGATACGGGTATGTTGGGGGGAGTAGTAGATGCGTAGGTGGGTTACACATGGCATGACCTGGAATATGAGTTGGTTGCCCCTGCCCTAATCCAGTGGTTCAAGCGGGGCTGGACAATTCCGCTCAGCGGGCGGAACCCCGTCGAAGCCATCCATGGCATGTGTAACTCGCTTGCAAGCTAGACTAGGCCAGATATTCAACCTAAACATTCACTCAGAACGGCCCTACGCGCTTATGCAGCACTTCCCGCAGTGATCCTAGCAGGAGGTCGAGCAGGAGGAACATGTATATGAGGAGCAGGGGATGAATGCGTGAGAAGACGATGCTTTTGTTTCAGAAGGTCCAGTGGTCGCTCCTTTTTCCGTTCCGCTTCCTTGTCGTTATACTTCTCCTTGAGGGGGCGACCCCTCCATGCTCGTTTCTGCTTTGACTGGGGCCATAGTTTGTCTAGACCCATTGTCACCCGCAATCGCGCTGTGCGGTCGTCTTCTCGACTGCACTGTTGGATGTTTGCTCGCTACCACCTGCTCACACTTCCTGTCCCTCCGCCTTCCCTTCCAAGCGCCCTGGTAATTAATTCGTAGCCCCCGAAGCAGGAGGTCGAGGAGGAGGAGGAGAAGAAGAAGGAGAAAGAGAATGAGAAGCAGGATTCACGTGGAGAATGAGATGGCGGGAGGGGATAATATCATTCATCTTTTTCCTGGACTCTGGGGTGGTCCCTCGTTCCATGGTCCTCCCTCGTCCTGTTCCTCCCTCCTCGCACTCTTGCAGGTCCGCGCTGTTCAGCTCTGGCTGCCCCTTCGCGAGAGTCCACTCGGAGCCGTAGCCGCTGCAGAAGCAACCCGGCAAGCTCATCTTTCCCTGACAGCCGCCCGCCGCAGTTCCCCCTCTCCACGCCGCCTTCCTTGCCTTCGCCCCTGCCATCTCCCGTCCTGGTGCTAGAGCTTTGTCGGCATCCCCGCCCCGCTCTTTCGACCTGTGCCAGCGCCGACCCGAGGCAAGACACGGTCCCTCCCTCCTCCCTGGCGCCCCCTCTCGTCCCCGAAGGACCCCGCGACGCAGAAGTGGACCTGCTCGGCCGAGCCTCCAGAGGAGGCTCCCTTCGCCCGCCGCCGCCGCCGCCCCCCCCCCTCCCCCCAAGGGGTCCAGACTGCTCGCCGCCAGGGGGAGGAAGATGCGGGCAGTGCCAGAGGGAAAGCATCGGGCTGAGCACAGGCAGGGCCATCCCCAGGCAGTCCCGCCTGGCCCTCCGAGCACAGTCAGCCCACACAGCAAGGATGCTCGACTTTCCAAGGCCACCCGTGCATCCTTCCCATTCGGCCCATCCTCGGCCGCTTTCGCTGGCCGCGCCCCGCTCGAAAAGTGTCGGCATGGCCTCCCAAGGCCCTTGCATCCTCATCCTGCGTCCTTCTTATACGGGTTGACTGCAGTCCCGCCTGGCCCCCCGAGTGACCTCAGGGACGGTCTCCACACCACTAAGCCCTGGGTCACGGAGCCGCCGAAGGCGGCGCCGGGGTGTGGAGGCCGCCCCGCCTTACTCGGGGGGCCAGTTGAGGCCTGCCGGGATTTTCTGGGGAGACCGCTTGTGCGCAACCCGAGCCTGACGGGCATGACGTGTGTTTAGCTGCTCTGATACGCACGTTTTGAAACGTGACACGTGCCGCGTTCAAAGCGTCCGTGTTCAGAGCGTGCGTGTTCCGTCTACGTGCTGAGTGCCGTATCAATGCGCTACGTGCTGGGTGTTGCGTCTCGGGGCAGCTGAGGACGGGCCAGATTGTTGTCCACGGCCTCCACGGGTCGGGATGTCATCCACGCCCCTTGCCTGCCACCTGATATAGAGCTCTTGCAGGCCTCCCAGATGGTCTCCGAGACGGTGGGGTCAGAGATCGCATCGCCGAGGCATCGGCGACGCGGCACGACGTGGCGCCCGCCGTTCTCCGCATCGGCGTCTCCGAGGCATCGGCGATGCGGGGCGATCCTGCGACGCCATCAGCTCGGACCCCCTTCGGGAGGCCTCCTTGGCTCTGGCGCGAGCAGGGGCGCAGTCGGGGCGCCGAAGGAGGAGCCCTTTTCGTTGGGGAGGGGCTCGGTGCTCCTTGATTGTCGTGCAGTTTGCCTGAGATTTCCCAGAGGTTTCCCAGGCGGGGTCGAAGTTCAGCTTTGGGGGAAAAGGGGGCCTCGTTCCTTCCTTGGGGCTCCTTAGGTCAGCGCCCCGACGGCATGGACAGAACGCCGATCGCCTGTGCCCGGGCCGTGCGCCCGTCTGGCTCGAGGCAGCCTCGAGGCCCCCGCCCGAGCGCTCGAAGGGCCAGAGGTGCCAGCGGGCCGTCGGGGCAGCCCCATCTGCGGGGCCCAGACATATACACCACCACCACCTCCCTCACCCTCTCCCTCTCCCAGGAAAGAGGAGAGGAAGAGGAGGGCAGAGGAGGGAGGAGGAATCGACGTGGTGGTGGTGGTGGTGTATATTCTTGGGGCCCGCACCGCAGGCGCGGCTGCGGCGGCGGAGAGCTCGGCTGCACGCAAGGTGGGCCCCAGACCTCAGCGGGCGAAGATCGGTTGGAGCCAGCTGGGGGTCTCGGGTGTCCCAGCACTGATTCCGGCCAGCAGGTGGATTTGGGCTTTGGGAGGATTGGGCTGGATTTGGGAGGATTTGGATTTCGTCAGCCTGCGGGGGCCGTTTTAGGGCACCGGGAGCGTCAAAACCAGATCCGGCGTGAAAAGTGTACCACATGGACTCTGGGAGGGGTCCAGGGACACATTGTGATTGGACTTGCCCGCAGCCCCACTTCTTGGCAGATTTTCTCGGGGCCCAACCATCTCAGCCCCCCCCACCCGCCTCCAAGTTTGATATCTTAGCGGGCGAAGCAACTTGTAAAACTTGTACGATAAGCTTTGCCGCCGTCGGGGACGCCTCCAGGGCGGCTGGGAAGTCTTATACCCTGACGTGCCCCCCGCGGTGGGGCATGAACTTCACAGCCGCGCTGGGGCAGGCGTGCCCGATCGCGGAGCATCTATGTTATACCACTCTTCGTTCACTTAAGAGATCCGAGGGTGTGTTCAGTCCAAGCGGTCTTCCTAGACTTATCGAGCAAGACACAAGCGCTTAAGCATACACGTTTGGAGTTCCGCGCGGATTTCTCGGATCGGCGCTGGGCGCCCGTGGCAATTCCTCCAGCGCAGCCCCTGGGAGGGAGGTCCAGCGCTGATCCAGGAGCTCGCGCGGAGCTTTCACAGTTGTTGTGTATGCAGTTGTCCCGTCTTCTGATATTTGTCAATCTCCTTATTTTCGTCGGCTTCGGCCTCTGGGGTTCGTCATGGGGCCCCGGGGCAATCAAAAACGGATCGTTGGCGGAGACATGCCCCAGAGGGAGAGGCCGGGACCTTGAGTCGGCTACGCGCAGAGGAGGCCGCTTCTCAGAAGGCGCGGGCCTTGCCCGTAGATGTAGGGCCGGCGCCTTCTCAGAAGCAGCCCCTTTCTGAGAAGCCTTCCCCCCCTCCCCCTTCCCCGCCCCCCCGGTGCCCGCCGCCAACCTGGGGCCGCGCATTGGAACCGTCACCTCGCCGGGCGTCTGGGTGTGGCCCTTCGCCGGTGGAGCCTTCGGCGCGCGGCGTTCGGGGCCGCGCCTCGCCCAGGGTGCTCCGAGGGCGCCCGCATCGGCCCGAACGGCCGTGCGAGGGCGTGTCCGTTTTGACTCCGGCAGGTTTGCCCGCGTGGCATGTCGCCCCCCCCCCCCCTCCCCTGCGCCGCCTCTGCAAGCAGCGCTGGGCCGAAAAGGCTCGCAGGTGGGTCCCGACTTGCCTGAAGTCCAGGGTTTGTTCGGGCCACGCCACGCAGGTGAATTTGCCAGAGTCTTCAGAGAAACGGCTTCTCAGCAGAGCCGCCAGACGTGAGAGCGACCATTCGCCAGAGCGGCCCCTGGTGCGCGGCATTCGGGGGGCGTGGGGGGGGGGGGGGCAAGCTGGGGTCCACGGCAGTCCCGCGACCCCTTCCCCAGGAGTGATTGGCTTGTTTTCCACCACCACCACCATACGTTGGAGGGGGAGAGGTCCTCCTCCTCCTCCTCCTCCTCCTCCTCCTCCTCCTCCTCCTCCTCCTCCTCCTCCCCCTCCAACTTATGGTGGTGGTGGTGGTGGAAAACACGCCCATCAAGGAGGGCTGGTGTTTCATCCGCAGGCGGACCACTGTGAAACACCGCTGCTGCGTGTGTCCTGGACATGTGGGAGGTCTGGGGCAGGCGGGCCGCGCAGCACAGGTCGCTCGTGCTCCCGGGGGGGGGGGAGGGGGGCGCGTCCTGGCGTGCAGCCGAGCGGAGCGGGGGCGCGGCCATGCCGCTGGAGGCCGTGATGGTGTGCATCGTCGGCTCCTCAGAGGGCCCTCGGCCGACGAGGAGAGTGCACCAACGACGGAGGTTTCGGTAGGGATCGCTCGAAGCAAGATAACTGTTCGTTTTGTGATCGTTCTGTGTTTCGTTCTGCTCCACCCGTTTTCCCGCAATAGCTTCCTCTCAAAACGAAAAAAACAGCACACGGCCGAAGTCCAGCAGCACAGCGTTCAGGTCACAGCCCTGCTGTCACCAAGGTCACTCAGCCTCGTGCACCGTGTCACAGGGCACTCACTCTCGTGCATCAACTTGTTTTGGTGTCGGCAGCGACGGCGAGCGCCGACGCGTTCGGGTAGCCTCAGTGCATCAACCCATGAGTTTGGGAACGCCCAATCAGCAGATGCCGAGAGAACCGCCGATGCGCGACGGACACGTTGAAACTCGAGCCCGCCACAGGCACAGAAGGCGACACAGCCCAGCTCGACGGCGGTCCTGCGGACGCGACCGACACACCGCCAGTGCATCCTCCAGGCGTCGCGCGCGGAGGTCCGCGTGGAGTTCTCTGATCGCCGGTGGGAGCGCCCGGCGGCGACCACGGCGCGGGCGTCGGTGACTGGACGCCGGCGGCGGCCCGGAGTCGACCACCATGGGGCGATCCGGTGGTCGGAAAGTTGCCGATCGTGCAAGGCTTCAGAGCCCCGAATCATCAGGGGTAACTCGGGTCAGGGATAACTTGGGTTCGTTTTTCGGGAATCCAAACCCGAGTTACCCCGGACCAGAGTTACCCCGGATAACTCGGGCGTCCAGAGCCCCGAATCATCAGGGGTAACTCGGGTCAGGGATAACTCGGGTTTCTTTTTCGGGAATCCAAACCCGAGTTACCCCGGACCCGAGTTACCCCGGATAACTCGGGCGCCCAAAGGCTGGACGGTCCGCGCGGTATCAGATTCCAGCGCCGAAGTTGTCACGACACGGCCCCAGCGTGGGCTCTCAGAGGTCCGCGCGGACCTCTCGGTTCGGCGCTGCCTCCCTTCCCTGGCGCGCGGAGCAGTCCAGGGGCGGCGCTGAAGGCGACACCGGGGACCAGGGGGGGGGGCCAGCGCCGAGTGGACCTCCGCAAGTGTGATTATGTTTGTGTTGTTCTGTTCTCCTTCACTCTGGGAGCACGGGGATCCAGGATCACCAGACAGGATTGCAGGCGAGTGCCCGTGTGAACGTGCTCGGGGCGCTCCGGAGCGGCTGTGTTTTCAGAGATCCCGCTTAATTCTGTTCGGTTGTATCTTCTTGCTGCCGTCGCGTTGTATCAGGCCTTCGGGCGCACTTCTACCTTTGGGGGCCATCTGGGGGGGGGCTCTCTGGAGGCTTTTGGAGGGGCCTCTGGGCGAGACAGGGGCCAAGGGTTCGGATGTGCTGGCCAAGGCTGACCCCGGACATCAAGGCGTCGTGAAACACAATCGCGGCGGGAGGTTGTGGCCCCCAGGATCGTCGAAAAGAGCGACCCAGACTGAGACAGTGGTCCCTCCAGGAGGTTGGTCGGGAGGTCCCACTGCCGCCACATTGAGAGAGGCACCCCGCCGGAGGTCTGGGGCTATGGCCCCCCTGGGCTGCCTCTATGAGGAGGCGGGCCGCTCGGGAGGGGCCTTGGTCACGCTGGCCGCGCGGACGTTGACGGTTCCTGTGCACAGCGAAGCCCTCGCCAAAGTGGCGGGCCCAGCCGCGCTGGTCTCTCAATGGGGGCGCTCCCTGCACTGAACAGCGGACGGTCGACCGCGGCAGCGGGAGCGCCCCTCCCAGAGGCGGGCCCGAGACCCTGGCCGCCAGAGGCCGAGAGATCGGTCAACAGGAATCCCCCGTGGGGATCTTCGCGCGACGCGCGGAGGTCTGGGCACGGTCGGCCACACGCAGGGGGGGGGGGTATGGGGGGAGGGGGGGAGGCTTCTCAGAAGCACCCCTGCTTCTGAGATGGCGCGGGCCTAATCTATAGTCTACTATAGATGTAGGGCCGGAGCCTTCTAAGGACCAGCATCCATGTAGGAAGCCTTCCCCCCTCCGCCCCTACCCCCCTGTGCACGCCGCCGATCTTTACACGACGCGTGGAAGTCTGGGCATATGTTTCTCCGCACTTCGAGCGCGAACTGGACAGGCGTGTACGGGACGACGTGGTTTTATCTCCGAAGCAGGTTTTTCTCACGCCACCGGGCTTCCCGACTCCTTCCTTGGACCGGCTTTTCGTCATGAGTCGTTGTTTGATTGTTCTGGGGCCCAGTGAGGGCACCACTTGGACCACCGTATGGGTTTCTCAGTGGCCATGGGGTTTATATGATTGGATATATCTCGCCTATGTGTGTTAGAACCGCCCAGCGTGGCTTGAAGGGGCTAGAGATCTGGCCTAAGTGCCCTCCGCCCTCTTAGCGGAGCTTCGACCCCCCCCCCTGAGCCACCTCGGGCATGTGCAACCCATGGAGTGGTTAGGTTGGGTCAGATATCACCCACCCTAGCAAGCACTTGCACAGCCCTCTGGCACCTCAGCAACACCCTTGGTGATCTGAGCTGAAGACCTAAATTGGCCCGGATGAAGCGAACAACTCGTGACAATCGATGCCTCGATGTTTCGCACGCGGTCCTTGGAAGTCTCGATCCTTTCCACAGGACCGGCTTTTTCTCTCGAGTTGTTGTTCCCTACATGCTTCGTGGGGTTATGGCTTTCTTCCCTGCCGCGCCGCACCCGCGTTCATTTTTACCTCCTCCTCCCTCCTCCCCTTCTCACAAAGCGCAGCACAGCACAGCACAGCACTGCACAGCACAGCTCTGCACAGCTCAGCTCAGCTCAGAACAGCACAGCACAGCTCAGCTCAGCACAGCACAGCACAGCACAGCTCAGCTCGGCACAGCACAGCACAGCACAGCTCAGCACAGCAGAGCACGCAGGGCTAGCGCGCAGAGCACGGCAGGCGTGACCGCATCGCACCACACACGACACGTCGGAGAGCGTGGCAGGCCCTACATAGAGGGGCACGTGGCAGGCGCGGCAGTTTCTCGACACCAGAGGGGGTGCGCAAGGGGTGGTCTCTCAACGCGGCCGCGTGCCAGGGTCGGAGAGCGTGGCAGGCGTTGTACTTTCTCGACACCATAGGGGGTTCGCCAGGGGTGGTCCCTCACCGCGGCCGCTATGCACGACGGTCGTCCAGGGCATAGCAGGCGTGGCATTTTCTCGACACCATTGGGGGTGCGCAGGGGGTGGTCCCTCAGCGCGGCCACTACGCACGACGGTTGTCCAGTGCATAGCAAGCGTGGCGCTTTCTCGACGCCAGACGGGATGCGCAGGGGGTGGTCCCTCACCGTGGCCGCTATGCGCGCCGGTCGTCCAGGGCATAGTAGACGTGGCACTTTCTCGACACCATAGAGGGTGCGCAGGGGGTGGTCCCTCAGCGCGGCCGCTATGCACGACGGTTGTCCAGGGCATAGCAGGCGTGGCACATTCTCGACACCATAGGGGGTGCGCAGGGGGGTGCTCCCTCACCGTGGCCGCTATGCGCGCCGGTCGTCCAGTGCATAGCGGGCGTGGCATTTGCTTTACACTACAGGGGGTGCGCAGGGGGTGGTCCCTCAGCGCGGCCGGCATGCGCGCCGGTCGTCCAGAGCATAGCAGGCGCTGCATTTTCTCGACGCCATAGGGGGTGTGCAGGGGGTGGTCCCTGACCGCGGCCGCTATGCGTGCCAGTCGTCCAGTGCATAGCAGGCGTGGCACTTTCTCCACACTTAGGGGGTGCGCAGGGGGTTGTCCCTCACCGCGGCCGCGAGCAGGCGTGGCAGGCGCGGGCTCGCAAGGCGTGGCAGGCGCGGTACTTTCTCGATGCCACAGGGGGTGCGCCAGGGGTGCGGTCGCTATCCGTTTCGGCTTCGCAAAGCGTTGCAGGCGTGGCACATTCTCGACGCCACAAGTGGGTGCCGTGGGGGTGCTGTCGCTATCTGTTTCGGGCTCGCAAAGCGGTTGCGGGAGGACAGCAGGAGCACGCCCGCCTGCCAGTGCACGCGAGGCGGTGGGCCCACTCCCGCCGCCCGGCGCGCGCCTCCAGGAAGAGGAAGTCGACATCAACTTGAGTCGGGCCTGTCCCTCTACAGGAGGGATATACGAAACTGGTGTCAACAAAATAGTAGGGGGACAACTTTTCGTCTATGTCTGACTACTGTTGAATAAATTCGTTTGGGGTACTTCTAATTTTCTGTCCAAAATCCCCCTGTAGGGGGACACGCCTGACCTAAGCGTAGACATGAACATATGAACTGTCGGGCCTGCGCACGGGTGCCTTGGATCGGCGCTGGGCCCCAGTGGCGGCGCCGCAGGTCCGCGCGCCCAGCGCCGATCCAAGAAATCCGCGCGCAGGGCCCGGAAGCTCACAGTTCTGCAGGTGCTTCACCATCTATTCAGAGGCGACGAGAGGGGCGAATAGCCCAGGGGAGAGCAATACATGTACCCAGGGGCGCCGATGATCCATGTCTTCGACAAGGCCCCTGGGCGAATACGTGTAATCCCCGCCCCTGGGTTATTCGCCATTATCGTCGCCGCCGATCTATCCTGCTCCTCTCCTAGGTCCCCTCGCACTGGCTGGGAAAAACGCAGCGAACGGTATTTGACCCTTCTCGGCTTCTGGTGGCCCTTGCTAGGCCCGAGACCGTCAAAACACGACTACGGATGAAGAGCCGACCACGGGGTAGAGGTCGAGATCCCTAGGGTTTTGCTTCTCCTCCTCCTCCTCCTCCTTCTCCTCCTCGTCTCTCCCTCTCGCCCCTCCATTCGCCTGTCTTCCCCTTCTCATCATATATGATTATGACTCCTCTCTGCTCTTCCGCTCCGAGAGACAGCTCCTTTTCCAGACCTCAGGCGGGGCGCCATCTCTTAATTCGGGCAGTATGTTTATGTTTGTTTGGTTGTTCAATGTATGGGAGCGCCATCTCACAATTTCGGCTTTCGGTTTGTTCCCCGCATGCTAAGTGGGTTATGGTGTTCTCCCCACCCGCGTGGCATCCGCGTCTCACCATCTCCCCCTCTTCTCATGTTCTTGTATGTTGCAGGACGTGAAAGCATGGGTTTGGGGTGAACATCAGACATGCGCACATCTGCACAACATACGCCCACACAAACGTCATACATACACGCACTTGCAGCCGTACGCGCACCATACAACGCTAGTGGACATTTGGCGCGATCATTGCATCATATACCAGACGCGGCGCAAGACATACACGGCACGCGCACAATCCTATGCGTGCCAGCGTCGGGACGCGTGGCAGGTACAGTTCTTCCTCGACACCAGAGGAGGTGCGCAGGGCGTGTTCTCTCATGGCGGCCTATATATACGACGCGCTCCCAGGACTTCGCAGATGTGGCATTTCTTCGACACCACAGGGGGTGCGCATGGCGTGGTCCCGCACCGCGGCCTCTACACGACACGCTCCCAGGATTAGGCAGGTGTGTCATTTCCTCCACATCACAGAGGGTGCGCAGGGCGTGTTTACTCGACGCAGCCTCTATATATGACACGCTCCCAGAACTTGGCAGGTATAGCACTTCCTCGACACCACAGGGGGTGCGCGGGGAGGCGTCTCCCACCTCGGCCTCTATACACGAGACGCTCCCAGGCCGTGGCATGTGCAACTCTTCCTCCACACCACAGGGGGTGCGCAGGGCGTGGTCCCGCACCGCGGCCTCTACACGACGCGCTCCCAGGACGTGGCAGGTGTGGCATCCCCTCGATATCAAAAGGGGGGCGCAGGACGTGGTCCCCCGCCGCGTCCACTATACACGACATGCTCCCAGAACGTGGGAGTTATAGCATATCCTCGACACTACGGGGGTGCGCAGGGGGTGATCCCTTTCCGTGGCCTTCCTCGACACCACAAAGGGTGCCCAGGGGGTGGTCCCTCACCGCAGCCCCTATGCACGACACGCTCAGAGGTCGTGGCAAGTGTAGCATCTCCTCGACACCACAGGGGGTGCGCAGGGTGGCCGCGACCTCTATACACGACACGTTCCCAGGACGTGGCAGGTGTAGCACTTCCTCCTCGACACCGCAGGGGATGCGAAGAGCGTGATCCCTCACCGTGTTCCCTTTCACGACATGCTCCCGGGGCGTGGCAGGTGTACGCTTTCCTCTACATCCGAGGGGTTTCGCAGGGGGTGGTCCATCACCGCGGCCTCTGGACCCGACACTCTTCAGGACGTGACAGGTATAGCACTTCCACGACAGCACAGGGGGTGCGCAGGGGGGATCCGTCACCGCGGCCTCTGTACACGGTAGGTGTGTCATGCCCTCGACACAACAGGGGGCGCGCGTGGGGGATCCCTCACCTCCATATACACGACACGCTGCCAGAATTTGGCAGGTGTTGCATTTCGTCGACGCCACGGGGGGTGCACAGGGCGTGGTCCCGCACTTCGGCCTCTGTGCACGACACGCTCCCAGGACGTGGCAGGTATAGCACTTCCTCGACACCACAGTGGGTGCGCAGGGTGGGGTGGGGGGCCTCTGTACACGACACGCTCCCAGGACGTGGCAGGTGTGTCATTTCCTCGACACCACAGGGGGTGCGTGGAGGATCCCTCATCGCGGCCTGTATACACGACACACTCCCAGAGCTTGGCAGGTGTTGCATTTCGTCGACGCCACAGGGGGTGCGCAGGGCGTGGTCCCGCACTGCGGCCTCAATACACGAGACGCTCCCAGGGCGTCGCAGGTGTAGCACTTCCTCGACACCACAAGGGGTGCGCAGGGCGTGGTCCCTCACCGCGGCCTCTAGGCTTCCAGGACGTGGCAGGTTTAGCATCGCCTTGGCACCGAAGGGGGTGCAATGCGGGGTGATCCCTCACCGCGGCCTCTATACACGACGCGCTCCTAGGACGCGGCAGGTACAGCATATCCTCGACCCCACAGGGGGCGCGCAGGGGGTGGTCCCTCACCGCGGCCTCTATAACGACACGCTTCAAGGATATGGCAGGTGTGGCATTTCAAAACACCCAAGTGGGTGAACCGTCGGAGCCGCAGCCCCTAGACACGACACGCTCCCAGGACGTGGCAGGCGTAAGACTTCCTCGCGACACGCTTCCAGGACATGACAGGTGTTGAATTTCCTCGGAATCGCAGGAGGTGCGCAGGGGCTGATGCCTCACCGCGGCCTCTATGCACGACGCGCTCCCAGGACGTGGCAGGTGTGTCAATCCCTCGACACCACAGGGGGTGCGCATGGCGTGGTCCCTCACTGCGGCCTCTATACACAACGCGCTCCCAGGGCGTCGCAGGTGCAGCACTTCCTCGACACCATATGGGGTACGCAGGGCGTGGTCCCTCACCGCGGCCTCTATGTATGATGCGCTCCCATGACGTGGCAGGTGTGTCATTGCCTCGACATAGCAGGGGGTGCGCACAGCGTGGTCCCTCAGCGTGGCCTGCCTACACGTCCCTGGACGTAGCAGCTTTAGCATTTCCTCGACAACACAGGGGGTGCGCAGGGCGTGGTCCCTCACCGCGGCCTCTATGCACGACGCGCTCCCAGGACGTGGCATGTGTAGCACTTCCTCGACACGACTGAACACGGGCCGACGTCCGAGAGCATTGGTCCTTGATTCTCCCCCGCCTCTTGCTTCTCCTCCTCCTCTTGGCGGCCTGCTGTGCCTCTGATAATGCGTCTTAGAAAGGATCGGGGCGGATGAAAGGGGAGATGTTGGGAAACGGTGGTGACGAAGTTTGCTCAATGCACCTAATTTCAGACCCGCCGCCATGGTCGCTCCTGGCGCCTCTTGGTGCCGGAGACCCAGCTGCACGCACCTGATGTCCTAACCCCACCGTCAATGGACTTGAAGGGCCCCCAAAATGGCGAATCTAAATTCGTCCGAGTCGAGGCTTTTGAGCAGTCCCGACATTTCCCTAGGTCTTTTGGGTCTGGAGAGCTATATTTACATATGACCCCCTGGAATTTGCGAAGTACTCTCCTCGTTGCTCACTCCGACAGGGACGGACAGAGGCCCCAGCCCACGCAGTGGAGACGCCACTCCGCCGGGGTGCCTGGGGCCTGATGGGCGGTCGGAACGTGCCAACCTAGACCGTGGTACGGTTGGATGTGTCGCGTGACATGGTGTGGCTTCGGGTTGCGTGCAGACATCCCGCCCAGGTAATTCATACCTTCTGGCCTACAGGACCCCCCCCCAGGAGGACCCCCCCCTCAAAGAGGAGGAGGAGGAGGAGGAGGAGGAGGAGAAGAAGGAGGAGGAGGAGGAGGGGGAGGAGCAGGAAAAGGAGGAGGAGGAGAAGCAGCCCGGGCGCGGTTTCAGCACCCTGGCGCCGCCGCCCTCTGCCTGCTCGAAGGAGCCTGCCGAGGCCAGCCGGGACTGAGCTGAGGGGCTCAGCCCGAAGCCCTCCACTTCGAGGCGGCGGTGACCCCAGCGCGGGCGCTCAAGGTTGAACGCCTGCCTCTAGGCCTCCTAGATGGGGTCGGAGTAGATGGGGTCGGAGGATCGCGCCGCATCGCCGATGCATCGGCGATGCATCGGCGATGCGGCTCGATGTGGGGCCCAGTTTTCTCCACGCCGACGTCGCGGATGTATCGCCGACGTCGCCAGTGCATGGCCGATGCATCGGCGATGCATCGCTGATGTATCGGCAATGCGGCGAGATCCTCCGACCCCATCTACTCGGACCCCATCTAGGAGGCCTCTACTGCTGTGGCCTGGAGTCCGCCGATATCTAACAGTCTGCGCTATCGAAAATCGGCCGAGCGTTCAAGGCTGAGCCATCCGTGCGGTGTCAGAAACAATACGACAGGAGGATGATGAGGAGGAGCAGGAGGAGGACGAGGAGGAGCTATGCGGAGGAGGAGGAGGAGGAGGAGGGCGCCCATGAAAGGGGCCAGGGGACGCCAGGCGGGGGGCGCCCAGGAGGGGGGCGCCCCGGCTGAGCCATCCGCGCGCAAGTCGTCACGACACGAAGCAGCTGTCACTAGGTGCGCCGCAACGATACGTTCACATCCACTGCCGCGGGGCCGGCGGCCGTGCCTCAGGGGCTCGGTCAGCGGCGGTTGCGGATGTCTGCCCGCCTGCGCGGGCGGGCAGATGTCCACATCCACCACTTCTCCCAAGTGGTGGATATGTGATGAGCCTGTTTTCAACCACCACCGCCAGAAGTTGGAGGGGGGGAGTGGGTCCTCCTCCCCCTCTTCTGCTTCCTCCTCATCATCCTCCACCTCCTCCCCCCCTCCAACTTATGGTGGTGGTGGTGGAAAGCAGGCCCATCAGATATGGATAGATTCTGCCTGCGGACAAAGTTTTCCGCGGTTCAGTCGGTTCGGCCGCGACGCACTCGGCATTGTTCGGTCGGTTCGCTTCGGTCGGCCGTGGGGTCGCTGCCCGTCGCCGGCGCCCTGCAAGGCTACCTGCGGCCTGTCGGCTTCGGTCGGTTTCGGCTTCGCTGTCGGTTCGGTCGTTGTCTTGTTACGTTGTCGCCGTGAACCGCTGGGGAAGGGGTACCTCTATGCTAAGGACAACTCGGACTACACGCGGAGCCTCCCGGGGGGGGACTCCAACAACGTGTGCATAAGAGCGTCCTTGCCTCCAACCTTCAACCAAGATCGATGATCGAGTTTTTGGGCGTTCTTGTTGCCCCGCTGGGCCTTCTGGTGCGATCTCGTCGCCACGGCTGGAACTCCCCCCGTGCGGGAGGCGGCCTTTACCATTGACCCCAGGCTTTTGCAGTCCCGAGAATCTCGAGACGGAGTGCTTCCGCCGCATTTGCTTTTTCGGGCCTGGGGCGACTTCGGCCCTTGGGCTTCCGCAAGACGATCCAGCACGAAGAGGCCCGACCCACTGATGGGGGCGGGGCTTCCAGGGACCCCGCAACAATAGCAGCACGACGTCGGAGGTCTGCCCCCACCATCCCCTCCTCGGTTCGCGCTGCCGGGGCTTTGCGTTGCGGCCCACCGTCACGCAGGAACGGCGACTACACCCCGACCCGCTTCGACGCGCAGACGGACGCCGTGAACCTCGTGTGCGGCGCGAAGACGCAGCAGAACCCCGAGACTTCGGTTGGCCTGCTGACCTCGGCGGGGGACCGCGTCGAGGTCGTAATCACTCCCACGATGGAGCTGGGCAAGATCAACGTCGAGCTGTCCAAGATCAAGAACGGCGGTACCTCCGACCTCCTGAGGTCGGAGCAGGGCAAACGGCAAAACCGTAAGCTTTCCCAGCTCCGCGCGGCTTTCCTGGGTCTGCGTCTGGGCCCATCTGGCGGCGCCTCCAGCGCCGCCCGTGGCGCGCGGTCCAGCGACGATCCCAGAAATCCGCGCGGACTTTAACATATCGTTTGCATGCAATTTGTCTCAGTCTATCAGGGCCATTCAGACGGCGCAGCTCGCCCTGAAGCACCGCCAGAACAAGAACCAGAAGCAGCGCATCATCGCCTTCGTGGGGAGCCCCGTGGCCAACACCGAGAAGGAGATCGAGACCCTTGGCAAAAACCTGAAGAAGAATAACGTCTCCCTGGACATTGTCAGCTTCGGCGAGGTGGAGGCGATCGCCGAAGAAAGAGCGGCATGATCATAAACTTCGGGAGGTTCGCGCGGATCTCTTGGATCTGCGGCTGGCCGTTCCTGGCGCGCTCCGCCCGCCAGGGAGGGTGCCTTCAGCGCAGATCCAAGAAATCCGCGTGGACCACCATCATATGTTTTGAGTTCAGTTGCTTTCTTCCTCCATCACGAGCTGACAACTAGCACCCATACCTGTATTCGACCCCAAGTTCTCGGGGTGGAACTTCGTGCGGGCTATCGGTTGTGTTGTCGGATTGGGGTCCCTGCTCGAACGAAGGCCCCCTCGGGGTCCGACAGCCCGCACTCATTTTTGTAGCGCCCTGATCTCCGTGCACCTCCCCATTCTTCCTCCGTGTTGGCCTGAGTGTGTTGGCCACCTCTTCCTCGTAGGCGAACAACCCGAAGCTCGAGAAGTTGCTCACCAGCGTGAACAGCAACGACACCTCGCACCTCGTCGAGGTGCCCGTTGGCCCGAAGCTGCTCAGCGACGTTCTGCTATCCTCCGTCATCATCAATGAGGGCGGCGACGGTGCAGGCGGCGCGTGGGGAGGGAGGAGGAGGAGGTGGACGAGGACGAGGAGGAGGATGAAAAGGAGGAGGAGGATGATAAGGAGAGGATGAGGAGGAGGTGGTGCCGGTGCAGGCGGCGCTGGAGGAGGCGGAGGCGGCGATGGCTTCGAGTTCGGCATCAACCCCAACGACGACCCGGAGCACTGGGGAACGCCAAGCATTTTGGAGCCGGCTTGGGGGCTGATGTGGCCCGGCTTTGGTTCGGGCCAGCGGAGAGGGGGGAGACGGGGCCCTTGTCGTAGCCACGGCCAGTTCGAAAAATTGATGAGTTTCTAGCCTGGGAGTGGTCCGTGGTGCATTTTTGAGCGGAGTTGCCCTCGCCCCGCCCCGCCCCTCTTAACAGTTTTCCTCGGAGCCACTCAGCGACGAGCCTCGGGCCGCTACCAACAAGCACCGATCTTGGCCAGGCCACATTTGGGCTCAGGATTAATGTACCTATGCAGGCCGCTCGTTGGAAATAGGTTTGTTGTGTCTTGATTCCAAGGTCACATGTTCCGACCTACTTCAAGAGTCGACGATGCCGCTGGTCATTGTCAGGTCACAGTCAGGCGTTCTGATGTGTTCATTAGGTGAAACCCGAGGGTTTTACATGTTTTTCTAGCACGGTGCCCGATGCCGGCCCATGAGAGCCGACAACAGGACGACATTTTTCTGCGTTGCGAATATGGTTTTCTCGCGGCGTGAAAAAAGCGGCTTGGAGGTTTAGAACGGTGAGCACGGCAAGACTTGCAGCGAAGACCCACACCAGTTCTTGTCCATTTTGGACAGGATTTGCTTTCGGTGTCGCCGCGGATGTGGTCCTCTTGAAACAGCAAAGCGCTTGCCTTATAGCGGCAGCTGCAGGTTGTGGACATCATGCGCTCTTGGGCATCGTGCCCACGTTTTCCGTGCCAGTGCGCTCTAGACCGAGTTTTGAGGCGTTTCCAGCCTCGGGTACGAGACGCTCCCCGGAGGACCAAAAGGGGTGAACATCGTTGTTCAAGATTGGCATAACGACATCATCTCGCCCTCTTCCCGTATCTTCGATGCATTACTTTTGCAGCGCGGGGCCCCGGGCAGCCTCGATCATTTCCCCATGGCCAGGTCTTCATCCCGAGGCGATCATTCTCGTTTGACGGTCTTTGGGCCCGGCGAGGGCCCCCCATGTGTGGCGCTCCATAGCTTCGGATGCAACTCCTGGGAGGTCAAATTCTGATTTTGCCCTTGTCCGAAATCCGGCGCAATCCCGCTTAATCCGGTTTAATCCTTCTTAATCCCGCTTAATCCCGCTCAATCCGGCTTAATCCCGCTTTATCCGAGGTTCACTCCAGCGTAACAGCCCCCCTGACGGGGTTTAGTCTTCCTTAAATCCTTCCGACGAGAACCTCCCAGTAGTTGCCTCCACACATCGCGGGCCTCGCCTCCGAGGCATCGAGGGCGGAAGGCGGCAGAAGGCTCGGCGGGAGGCGGCGGAAGCAGGACGGGGGATGGCTCCGCAGGCGGAAGGCCGGCAGAAGCCAGCAGAAGTCTCCTCCTCTCCTCCTCCATCTCCTCGTCCTACTCCTCCTCCGCCTCCTGCTCCTCCTCCCCCTCCTCCAGTAAAAGGTGCGCCCCCGAAAATCGGAGGGAGGAGGCGCGACAACAGCAACACCACCAGGGGGGCCACCTCCAGCGAGGAGGTCCATGATGCCTCCTCGAGCTGGAGGCTGGGGATGTCTCGAATGAGAGGGGGGGGACCACTCCACCAGGGATACCACCTTTGCTTCTCGCGTCTCGCCTTGGTGGTGTTGGTGCCGCCTTTCGTTGTTCCTACAAAAAGATGTTATGTTTTGGGGGTCCAGGGTTTCCGAGCCCGCCGTATGTTGAAACCGCTCAAAAATCATCCCCATTAATCTGCTCAGTGCGTTGGGACTCGAGGCGGGGTCCCTGCGCGCTGTACGCCATTTTGAGAGGCGCTGTCGACATGCATCCTGTCGCGCGCACGCCAGTGGTCCGTCGCTCCTGGCAGCTCCGACTCTTTTCCCAGTGCCAGCTTTTTACCATGAGTCGTTTATTCTTAGGCTTACGCCACACCGCCGACCCCTTGTTTATGCCAATCTGGGGGTAGTAGAAGCTGCGAAGGGGTAAAAAGGCGAGTGATATTTGTTTGGTGTCTGTTCGCCGCCACCGCCAGAGGGTCTCGGGCAGTTCCGCGGGGGGGTCCGAGCGGACGGCGACACCGCGAGTTTTGGAGCCACTTGGGGGCCGTTTCGGAGCCTCTGGGGTGCTTCTTGGGGGTTCCTTGGGGCGTCTGGGCGGCCTCGTGAGGGCCTCTGGGGGCCTCTTGGGGCACTCTTGGGGCCCCCTGGGGCTCCTGGGGGCAGAAAGCTAGAGTTTCAACATGTTTGGTCGCCCTCTTGGGCCCCTCTTGGTGCCGTCTTGGAGCCCTCTTGGGCCGTCTTGGGGACCTCTTGGGCCGTGTTGGGGCCGTCTTGGGCCGTCTGGAGGCCGTCTTGGGGGCCTCTTGGGCCATCTTGGGGCTGTCTTTGGGGCCTCTTTGGCCGTCTTGGAGCGTCGGGAAGCCGAAAAGGCGGAAAAGCAAAAAACATAGAAAAACACTATGGAAAATCAACAATTTTAGACTCTTGGGGCCCTCTTGGGAGGCTTGTTTGGGACCTCGGGGGCCGTCTTGGAGACCTCTTGGCCCGTCTTGGGGCCATCTTGGGCGTCTTGGAGCGGTCGTTTGGCGTCTCGGGGCCTTCGTGGGCCGTCTTGGAGGCCTCTTGGGGGCTTCTTGGCCCGTCTTGAGGCCCTCTTGGGCCCGGAAAAGCCCCGTGAACCGCTCGTCCCGGCCGTGCTGCGCTCGTCCCGGCCGTGCTGCGCTCGTCCCGGACCCCCCCCCCCCCTCCAAATCTCGGGCCGGGCGAAAGGGGGGGATTGGGAAAGGGGGGGGTACGAAATTTGCTGCATGCAGCTGATTTCGGCCTCACCGAGGGGCCCCTTCCTCGATACATGGGCGCCTCCCAGCGCCGGGAGGCGCCGGGAAAATCGGCTACGTGAGCTGATTCTCAAACCCCCCCTTTGCTATCCCCCCCTTTCGCCCGACCCGAAAATCGACCGGACCGGGCTCCCGGGGGAGGGGTTTGGGGAGGGGGAAGCATCTCACACGCCGATGATCCCCAAGGGGTCGGCGGATTTTAGTGTCGCAGGGCCAGGTTGGCCCCCATGTGTCTTGGAACGTGCTTATTTTTCTCGACGAGGCCAGCGCCAGAAAATCAGGACCATCTTGGAATATCTGGGATAATCCTGAGAAACAAAGAACAAAGCACGCACGAAACCAAACAGGGCATGGGGAACGGACGTCGGAGCCATGGCAGGAGACCGAACATTGCGAGAAACCAATCCCATTCACGTGTTTATTCGGATGCAGCTCCTGGGAGGCTACATTCAGAATCGGCGCTGGTATATCCCTGTCCAAAACTGGCGCAGTCCAGTTTTACCCGCCTGATCGGGTTTACCGATCAATCCCATTTGATCGAGCGTGACCCCGGGCTCGATCCAGTCCAGCTAACCCGGCTCAAGTGGCCTAGAAAATCGGGCTTCGTACTCCATGAACAGTTCTGACGAAGACCTCCCATCCGAGGCCCAGGGGTTGACACCAACACCAATATCGGCGATGTGCCTCCACCGAGGGAAGACGATCCCGATCTCGGCGATGGTGGTAAGATTCGGGCTTCCACGGTGGCCGAAACATTACCACCAATCACCTTCCCCTGGTGGTGTTGGTGTTGGTGCCCGCTTCTAAGCCCTCAGTCCCAGGATTCGCCTTCCACTGTTCAGCACGTTAGAGCCTCGGGGCTCGATCCTCCCAGGAGCTGGCCCTCGCCCTCCGGATCTCCATGGAGGAGGAGCGGGCCCGGCAGCAGGCCACGGAAGGCGCCGGTGGGTGGGGGGGGCTCGATGCGCAGTTGTAGGCCTCCTAGGTGGGGTCCGAGTAGGTGGGGTCGGAGGATCGTGCCGAATCGCCGATGCATCGACGATGCGTCTCGATGTGGAGCCCGTGTTTTCCCACGCCGACGTCGCCGATGCATCGCCGACGCCGCGAATGCATCGCCGATGCATCGCCGATACATCGGCGATGCATTGGCGATGCGGCGCGATCCTTTGACCCCATCTACTCAGACCCCATCTAGGATGCCTCTTCCAGTGCACAACGTGCGGGCAAGACTTTTATCCATATCCACGGCGCGTTGGGTTTTTTTCTGTTTGGGAAAGGGGATGCCAAAAACCAGATACGCAGTGGATGTGGATAAACAAATGGCGTCTCAAGAAGCCAGTTGTTATCCATATCCGTTGCGTCTCGGGCTGCCAGGGATGGATTTGCGTATAAATCTTGCCCGCTCTCCGTTTGGCAGATGCTGCCAAGGAGTTCTGCAGACTTGAATGACGGCGGTGCTTGCAAAGGGGATGGAGGGGGTTATAGGTTGATGTCCGCAATATTCTCGACCTCCTCAGTAGTGCCAGAGTGTTTCGTCCCAAACTGCTTTTTGACGGTCCTGGGGCCTGGCGAGGGCCCCCAAAGACCGCACGTTGTGAAGCGTCCGTATTGACAATGAGCGCTTGCTTTGAAGGGATCTTAGCGGAAGTTGAAAGGCAAAAGTTTCCCGCCGATTTTGGTAGCCGACTGGGTTCCCAGGTTTCCGGTTCCGAGTTCCCGGGTCCCTTTGTCATTGTTTCCGGGCCGATTTCGGTGGGTTTCGGATTCCCAGGTTCCCGGTCGATCTCTTTATCGATCAAATCATCCACTGATTGGGTTTTTTCTCTGCTGCATTTTTTCACGACGCCAGGGGGTCTTGGCGTTCGAGGCATGCGTATAGCTCGCGTGGCCGCGGGCCGTCCGGGACGGCCCTGGGCCACCCGTGGAACGCTCCCTCCGAGGCACTGCTGCTGGAGAGCCTGCCGGGGCCGGGGCATGCCGCCCTCCTGCCGTCGATGTCTGTCCAACACGTTCCTGGCGAGGCGGGGACTTGTCCATATCCACCGCCTGGGAACCGACGTCCGGGTGCCCCGGCAGGCGGTGGATATGGATATCGGTTGGCCCCCGGGGGCACGAATACATCCATGTCCGCTGCATGTGGAGGTCCGCGGAGATCGATGCCCCAGGTGGTGGTCATGGATAGATTCCCGCCTCGGAGTTCCCTCAATCACCGCGGTGGTTGCTTAGAGGAGAGGGGCCTTAGAGGGATTATACGTGGATGTCAAGGTGGCCGATAGATGGCCTATATATATATATATATATGGCTCAGGGGGGTGTAGTGTAGTTCCAGGCTAAGTTGGCTCCGCCCACTTAGCGGAGTTGCCGAACCTACCCAAGCCACTCAAGGAAACTGCAGCCCGCATGTAAGCTAGGATCGGCCATGTACAACTCACCTTAGCATCGAGTTCTATCCCCTAAGACACTTAGCACCACCCGCGGACATCCAAGAATCCAGCTATCCGATCATGTGTTTTTTGAGCCCTGGCGTTTTGCAGAGATGTTCATTTCTGGGCCGTCATCGGACTGCGGGACAATCGAGCAACAATGAAAGGGTAGATCCGGGAGTAGACATTGCCCCCAGGGAAGCGGTCGGGACCTCTGGTGCAGCGGATCGAAAAAATCAGATCCGCGGATCTCAGGGAAAGGGGCTGCCAGACATCAGGCGCATCAAGGAGATCCAAGCGGCAGTTTTGTCTCATGCTTGGCCTCTGGGGGCCAGTTTCTGGCCTTGGGGCTGTCAAGCAACGCCCTTGGATGGACAGCCTGCCTTGGAAGTTGTCAAGAGAGCCGAGAACCCGCGTATCCGATTCGGCGAAGGAGCGTTGCGTGGATTCGAAGAAGAAGAAACATAACAAAACAGACATTGTCTCAGGACTGCCCAGATTTCTTGGATCTGCGTTGGATTCAGGGAGTCCGCGCGGATTTCCGTAAGCGTAGGCTGATTCGCATGCGTTTTTTTTGCGTGTTGGCGCCCCCAGCATCCCACTGCTTGGCAAGCTGGAGCGTCCATAGACCAACCCTCCCAGATCCCTGACGTGGTGTTTTTTTTTCTCGCAGCGCGGACCGCCAGGGGTCTGGACTCATTCCGTGAGATTTGCTCTTCATCCTGAGTTCCGAAACGCATCCCCCCGTCATGTGTTTCACGCCGCGAGATCGCACCCTCCCCCTCCACCTGTCGCGCGGCCGCCCTCTTCTGCGTCTCTCTCTCTCTCTCTCTCTTTCTCGTGCGCGCCGGACAATTTGCTTATCGGTTGCCCCGGTTAGCCCCACGCTGGTGCGGATTGCTTCTGCCTCGCAGCCAACGAAAAAAGTTTCACGCCGCGAGTCGATTATGAGTGCCCTGAGCCATTCAGGACATTTGTGCCCCACTTGTTCGCTCGGGAAAGGCCAGGTGGAACTATGACCCACTTTAGCTGCCACTGCATCGCAACGTATCCCAGTAGTACACCCCCACCCACCCGCTGCGCTCCGGGGGCATACCTTTAGGCTCCGTGTTGGTGGCCATGTCTCGACTACACACGTGGGGCAGGCTTCACCTCCTGGGAGGTCGAAGTCAGCATCGGCGTTGCTAGCTCCGTGGGCTTATCCCAGCCGGGCTCAGCACACTCCAGCCGATTACCGTCCAATCTGTGCTGATTCGGGGTCTTCGGCTTACCCAAAGAGCAGAGGGTTTGTTTCTTTGTTCAGTGCTTGGTCCCTTGCAGTCCCTCCTCTGTCCTCGGGGCCGGCCTTTCATCACGAGTCGCTCTCTGAGAGGTCCTGGGGCCAGGCGAGAGCCTCCGAGGGACGAACACGGCGAAGTTCTGTCGCATTGTCCCCCGTATTTTGCTCCTCTTCCTCCTCCACAAGACTCCCTTACGGCACGGCACCAACACGAACAACGACAATGATGCCGGCAAAAAGACTTATATCTAGAATAACAAGGCCAATAACAACACCAACAACAACATCAACATCAAACACACCAACAACGCCAACACCAACCATAACAACATTAAGTCCCACGCAAGGGAGAGCTCAGCTTTGAAAAGGAACCGTCCGTGCCCACGATGGGGGGCGAATAATTTTGGAAGTGCGGGTGCTAAGATAACGCGCCGTGCGTGGCGAGTGCTATATCCTCGGATGCACTACCCCACACGACGGCCGGGAAAAAACAATGTTTCAACAGGGGTGGTAATGCAAATCGTATAGAACAAGGATGATGAAGATAATGCGACCAAACTCTGTTTCTTATGATTACGGGCATTCGCATTTTATTTTCTTATTATTACTATTGTTATAATTGTGTTTATCGTTCTTTTGTCTGTTATTATTATTACTCTGACTATTTTTCTTATTATTAGCTGTGTGCTTATTCGGAGTATGATTATTCTTGTTTATTGTATATGTCTATTCTCACTAGCATGATTACTCTTATTATTACTCTTACCCTTACCATTATTTAATGAATATTCCTATTCTTGTCATTATTATCATTATGATTCTTCTTATTCTCATTATCATTCGTATTCTTATTCGCAGTTTTATTCTGATTACTATTACCCGTATCCTCATTGTGATTAATATTTCTGTTCATACTATCACTCTCACCCTGATTATCATTCTTATTATTACTCTTACTCCTATCCTTAATCAAGTTCTTATTTCCTTTATTCTCATAGTTGGCATCGTAGTCTTGTTCTTAGTTGTATTAGTATTCCGATTATTGGTCTTATTATACTTCTTGTCTTTTTTGGACAAGCTGTCGTGATTGTTATGTGCGGGTGCGGTGCTGAGATAACGCCGTGCGTGGCGGGGGCGGTATCCTCGGATGCACGACCCCACACGACGGCCGGGAAAAAACAATGTTCCAACAGGGGTGGCAATACAATCGTATAGGACAAGGATGATGAAGATAATGAGCAACAACGAGTGTTATCATTATGATGATGATTATTATTCTCAGTCGCTTATGATTCGTATTATTGTTAGTATCCGCATTATTATTCGCATTATGATCAGCATTGTTATTCTGATTCAGTAATCTTACTCGTATTGTTACACTCATTATTGTTATCACTCTGACTCTTATCATTCTCAATAGTCGTTGTCTCATTACTTGGTATTAGTATTCATATCATCAGTATTCTATTACTCGCACTTCAATATTATTATCATCATTATTCCAATTCCAGTTGGGATATCACCCGAGCCAGGGCGCAGACTTTTGGTTTATTGAATCGCTTCGCTCATTCCGCCGGCCCGTATTGTGCCATCGCGGGTTCTTGGGGGGTCTTGGGAGCCCTTGGAAGCTTCGTGGGAGCTTCTTGGGAACTTTGGGAGGCCTCGTGGATGGCTCTGGGTGGGCCCTCTTGGTGGTCTCTTGGGGGGGTCTGCCTGGCCTCTTGGGGGCCTCCTGGGAGCTTCCTGGGGGTCTCTTGGGGGCCTCTTGGGGCTTTCTTGCGGCCTGTTGGGGGCCTCTTGGGGCTCTCTTGGGGGCTTCGTGGGGCTACTTGGGGGCTTGTAGGGGCATTTCGGGGGCGTGTTTGGGCGGGAGGCTCAAAATTTCCGTTCAGGTTGCCCCTGTGGACCTCAATCATGGGGCCGTCTTGGGGCCTCTTGGACCGTCTTGAGGGTTTCTTGGGCCTTCTTGGAGCGCTCTTGGGCCGTCTTTGAGCGGTCTTGAGGGTCTCTCGGGCCGTCTTGGGGTGATCTTGGGGGCCTCTTGGACCGCCTTGAAAGGTGTGAAAGACGAAGAGGCGGATATGTTAAAAATGCACGTTTTCCTAAGGGAATGAGACGATTTTTGCTTGTGGGAGCCCTCTTGGGACGCCGCTTAGGGGGACCTCTTGGGGCGTCTTGAAGGCCTGTTGGGCCGTCTTGAGGCCATCGTAGGCGTTTGGGAGTGATATTTCGGCGTCTCCCGGCTCTCTTGGACCGTCTGGAGGGCTTCTCGGGCCCCTCTTGGACCGATTTGGAGCCCTCCTGGGCTCCGAAAAAGAGTCCTTGAGGGTTTCTTGGGCCTTCTTGGAGCGCTCTTGGGCCGTCTTTGAGCGGTCTTGAGGGTCTCACGGGCCGTCTGGGGGTGATCTTTGGGGCCTCTAGGACCGCCTTGAAAGGTGTGAAAGACGAAGAGGCGGATATGTTAAAAATGCACGTTTTCCTGAGGGGATGAGACGATTTTTGCTTGTGGGAGCTTAGGGACCTCTTGGGGCGTCTTGAAGGCCTGTTGGGCCGTCTTGAGGCCATCGCAGGCGCTTGGGAGTGATATTTCGGCGTCTCCCGGCTCTCTTGGACCGTCTGGAGGGCTTCTCGGGCCTCTCTTGGACCGTTTGGAGCCCTCCTGGGTTCCGAAAAGGGACCTTGCCGGGACCTTGCCGGGGTACTTTTCGTCCGGGGACCCCCAGGGCCCGCCCCGCGCGCGCGAACTAGGAATATTGTTGAGCAGTTACCGGAGATCTTAGCACGCCTTTGGCCCGTTGGGCCGGCGAATTTCAGTTCATTTGCGTGGTGCTACCTATATCGTTGGGCGAAAACCGCCCCCCAGCATTATCAAATTACGGTGCGGTGCTAATGATAACCTTGGGGGGGTTCTTAATAGCTGCATGCGGTTAGGCCAGGAGTATTTTCCAGCGCTCGGCCCATCGATGGCCGTGCAGCCCGGCCGCCGCATATGTATCCTGTGAGTGGCTTCCGGATGTTCCAGGTGTTCATCTATTTATGGGTGTTTCGAGCTTCCCGCAAGCGATACCAGAAGGCCAGGATTGTTCAGGGTTGCACGGACCACGCAATTCAGCTCGAAGCCCGCTGCACAGTGCGTGCACCAAGCAAGCAAAGGACAAGTTTGCCTGTCAGCAGGTGCCACGCGGAGATTCGGTTACATCCGTGAGGCACCTGTCAGGCAAGCATTGGAGTTCTGGGGCAATACGCAAAGTTCCAAATCGAACGAGCAATGTGCCTTTTGAGTTTTCGTGGCAAGACATCTTTACTTACGTATCCCTGTAGCCGCTCCCGACCCCTACCCTGGGGGTGGCCCAGATCCAATTTTGATTGTCACGTGGCCCGACGACGGTCCCTTGATGCCACATTCACGAAGGTACGCCAGTTTTGATCAATCATACCGTTGGAGATTTGGGGTTGTTGCGACACGAATTTGCCGCAGCCGTTCCCGCGAAGGCCTCCCGTGAGCTGTTTCCCGACACTGGACCCTCTCCCCTGGATGCAGTTTCAGACTCCGGCAAGTTTACTTGCATGGAGGGGGAGAAGGGCGGGGAGGGTGTTGCGAGACCCGTGAGGAAATCTGGCTTTCACGCAAGTCGGGATTCACTTACACACACGCCTTTTTGGGCCGAGCGCTTAAAAAAAATCGGTGTGGAGGGGTCGTGGGAGCGAATTGCCAAGCAAGCTTCCTCGACTGATTCCCGAATCAAGCGCACTCCAAGCTGATGGCCTTCGGGCCACGACACGGGCCTCCGGCGGCCGTTCGGGACGACCCGGTGAACCTCAAGACCACCCTCGGCACCGCCCTCGGCGCCGCTGCTGGAAAGCACGCCGGCGCTGGGAAACACCTCCGCTAACCACTCGATGACCGACAGCGACGACGAGCTTTGCTTGCAGTGGAGGGAAGCAGAGGAAGGCCTGCAGGTCTGGACCCATGGTGCACGCGGAGAGTAAAAGCCTGCGGGCCGCGGCCCCTGAGCCGGGCGACAGGAGCAAGCGCGGTGGCGACAAAGATCATCATCACCGCGCCTTCGGGGCGCGCTGCGGCTACCCAGGGGCTAGAGTTGAGTCCAGCCCAGTGGCTGAGACGGTGCATGCCTGGAGAAACGCCCACAAGGGTCGTCAATTCGGCCCCGACACTTCGGACGTCAGCTCGGCCCCAAGACTTCGTTCGCTAAGGCAAGAGCAGTCGTCATTTCAGCTCCAACACTTCGCTCGTCAAGACGAGATGAGCCGTCAACTCGGCCCCGGCACTCTGTTCGTCAAGACTGAAGTCGATTTGAACCTTCAGCTCGGCCCTGACGCTTCGTTCGTCATGACGGAGGGTGCGGCGAGGGGGGCCGTCAAAGGGGTTCGTCCATTCGGAGGGAGGCCGTCTCGGGAGTCTCTCACATTAGAGGGAGGCCGTCAAGGGGGCTCGTCAAGTTGGAGGGAGGCCGTCAACATGCCATCGTCAAATCGCAGAGAGGCCGTCAAGGGAATTCGTTAATTCGGGAAGAGGCGGTCAAGGGGGCTCGTCAACTCGGAGAGTTGACGGCCAAATCCTTTCACTAAGACAGAGCTGCCAGCAAAACCCTTTTCTCAAGCACCGTATAGAGTATACATGGTCATCCGTCGTGACATCCAGGCCCACCTCCAGATCTGCCGCCCGCGACAGACTCACGGTCAGAGCTTAATATCAATGTTTTTTTTGTTAGTTGTTCTGCCTCTTTTCGTTTGTTCTGTCATTCGTATCTTCCGCGGCACCAGCTGCATTGGCAATTATCAGCTCTCGTGTCATGTTGAAACCTCTGTTCGGGGAAACACGACTACAAACCAATGTACCTGTTTTCGCCCATATGACAAACGCTGCCTCAATTTCTGCGGTGTTATCTTTCAAAATATGCTGCCACGACATGGGATGTACTCCCTCGTTAGCTCCCGCTGCGCAACTATTCCTCACATGCAACACTCCATCCCGAATATGGGCAAAGACAGCATTATTCACACGTTGTTGCTTGTCAATCGTATCTTGTGCGGTTAGCTAAGACAGGATCGGTAAACCAAAACATATCCCCAGAAGTTGAAATGCGCCCGCACCTCCTTCGCACTGCATATCCTCCCCTCTGGCAACTCATCTACATAATCGTCACCCGTGTCCGCCAACATGATCTTTCGATTGGCGTCCTCAAGACGACGGCGCCTGACAGATGAGTGCGTTGCAGGCCCAGCAAACGATCAACGCTCCATCTGATCGACAACAGTTCCATAATATCCACCATAATGTTCCACATGAGAAGCCAGATCTTTATCATGCTTTGCCACCTCGTGTGATGCGCAATGTTCCTCCCAGTTTCTTTCCGTCACATAACATATTGGGGCACTCTCCTCATATGGCGGCAAGGTATTGGCCAAAACACTTGTTGTCTTCACGAGCCATGCTCCGACTGAGGTCAAGCAGTTGAATCCCAAAGTTTGGATATTTGCCCAAACGGGCTCCGATGCGAAGTGCGTGGCGGAGTCCATTTTTACATGTTGGTCCCCAACAGAAAATGCCTCATGTAAGTTCCCACCTGCTTTTTGCTCCAATTCTGACTCGTTTTCCATACCCGGTGGCGGCGAGACCCACAAAGTGTTCATTGGATTGATTGTTGCTAGTGCGTCTCGTTCGCTCGCGCCTTTAATGCTTGATGCTTTTGCAAAGGTCACATTCTCTTCCCGCAAGAAAGTAGGAGCCGAACTTTATATACATCGACGCTGTTTCCGGCCCCGCACCGAAACTCGCACAGGAAAGCGGATCCTGGTGTATACGGCGTTTTGGTTATACATTCTTCGTTCTGGCCACGGAATGGGAAACACGTATACCCCACACCACCCCGACGTCGTCCCCGACCTTCAGAAAGTCTTGGGGTTGAGAAACAGCCCGCCACGGAGGGGGAGGGGGGATGAAGAGGAGGAGGAGGAGGAGGAGGAGGAGGAGGAGGAGGAGGAGGAAGAAGGCGAGGAGGAGGAGGAGGAGGAGGAGGGGGTAGGGGGGGGGGGGGGGGGGGGAAAGGCAGCACGAGCAGGGGGCGAGAGGAGGAAGGCGGGGGGGGGGGGGGGCGGGGACGGGGACGCGGCGAGCGAACTGCCATGCAGGCAGTCGTGCCGCATCCCGGAGCCAAGCGCCCTCCCCGCCGAGGCGGCGCCCCGCCCGAGGGCGGCGCCCCAGCGGCCGAGGCCGCCGCCGCCGCGCCAGCGGCGGCGGCGGCGCCCGCGGCGCCCGCGGCGGCGGCGCCCGCGGCGTCCAACGACGCTGTGATGGAGGCTCGTCCGGGTCCTCGTCCTCGGGGGGTCTCGTCCTCGTCCTCGGCGCCCGCGGCGTCCGCGGCGGCCTCGTCCTCGGGGGGGTCTTCGGCCGCGGCACCCGCGGCGCCGCGAGGGCAGCGGCGTCCTCGTCGTCGGATTCGGGGGCTTGGCCCAAGAGGTGCCCCGAGCCCAGGGTGCCCCCAGCTTTTCGCTCCAGTCTGGAGCCCCCTCGGGCCCCCTGGGCCTCGTGAGGGGTGCTCTGGAGGCCGTGGGGCCTCCTTGGACATCCTGGGGGCACTTTGAGCCAGGGGCTCTGCTAGCAACACCCGATCAGGGGGTCTCCAAGATCGGTGTGATCGACGTGGGTTCGGGAAGAGCAGATACGGCGGGGTCGTTCGTTATGGAATGCGCCCAGGGGGCTTCAGACCCTGGAGGGTTCTTTATCTGATGAGGGCGGTGGTGATATCCATGGCCAATCCACGATTGGAGTTCCACTGGCTTCCGGACCCTGGATTCTCAATCGGAGGTTTCTTTATCCAATGCCCCCCCACCGTATTAAGACCGACAGCATGTCTGGTTCCTTTTGAACAGGACTCGCTGTCGGTGTCGCCGCAGACGTCGTCCAATCGAGACAGGAGGCCAACTGTCCAACACCGGCCGCTGTCGGTTTTGGACAACACTTGTTCTGTAGGGCATCGTGCCCATTATTTCCTTACCCATCTCGCGCATCCAAACAAGAGGGGGGCCCTAGATCTCCGACGACATGGTTCTTTAACAGCGTTTCGCTAGAGGGTTCTAGTAGTGGTCACAAGGACCACAGAGGCTTTCCTTGCAATGAATGCACACATCGACTTCTCGCCCTAGCGCCAGCTGCGTTTTTCGTTTGGGCGAGCGCGATCGTTTGCAAAAACGCACTGAAGTGCACATGGCCGTGCTCCTACCCCTGTCCTCTGTAGTCGACCTGCTAGTCTTCGACCCGCCTCTTCACCTTTGCTGCAGTATGTTTTCCCGTCGGGGCATTTTTCCTCGCTGTCGGCCCTCGGGGCACATGATCGGGCCCTGGGACCATCGAAAAGGCATCTGGGACCAAAAACCACTCGGGATCCCTGGAGCCGCGGATTGAAACACACATGTCGGCAGATGTCAGTTCCCTGGGTGGGCGCCTGAGAGGGAGTGGGGACGGTCTTGTTTCTTGTGACTCGTTGTGGCAGTTGTTCTTGCTTGTTCGGCCTGTTGTCGGCTCGGGGTATGTTCTAGCAGCTGCGCCTCGTCGAGGGCTTCCCGTGGGTGTCCAGAGCGTCCCCAACTGCCATTGGAGGCCAGAGCTGCGATATCCAAACACCACCAGGCGTCGAAGGGGAAGGAGGTGAGGACCAGGGGGGTGGATCTCATGGCCTGGCTCGTGGGGACTCCCGAATGTCCTGGCCCCTCTTCCTCTCTTCGCCCTCTCACACGCCCCGGGTCATGATGCGCCCCACCCTCGCCCAGGCCCTTTGGGGTCGATCCAGGCCTCCCAGATGGCGTCGGAGTAGATGGGGTCGGAGGATCGCGCCGCATCGCCGATGCGTAGGCGATGCGGAGCCCGCGTTTCTCCACGCCGACGTTGCCGATGCATCGCCGACGTCGCCAGTGCATCGCCGATGCATCCTCGATGTACCGCCGATGCATTGGCGAGGCGGCGCGATCCTCCGACCCCCACCTACTCGGACCCCATCTGGGAGGCCTCTGGTCGATGTTCCCTCTCCTCGGGGGGCCTTCCCGGGGTCCCTTTGCGCCGCACTTCTTGCTCGCCTGTGGGCGTTCTCGCCCCGCCTCGGGCCCCGGGGGGCCCGGGAGCTTGCAGCCCTCGCGTATCGAACCGGCCCGAGGGGTGCCGCAGAACGTTGGGGTCCAGGGCTCTGGCTGCGACTTTGCATTCTGGTCTGCGACGTTGGAGATCTCAGGGTTTGGTGGGGGGGGGGGGGGTCTCCAGGCTGGGCCCGTTCCAAAGTGAGAAATTGGCCCGCCCTTGGGACCTCGGGCCGCTGACTTGCGAGAAGCAGGCCTTTGGGAAACCTTTTTCTTGGGACTTCCGACGACCTCCAGAACCCTTACACATTCGAGGGAGATTCTCAATCACCCCAACGACCCTGAGATCAATGTTGTTCTCAGTAAAAGCGGTGATTTGGGGTTCGAATATATTTCTGTCCATTCACGCCGCCCCCGCCGTAACGCCATCAATCTTAATTTCGGGGGGTCTGGGGGGCATCTTGGGACACAGGGCTCGAACATAACTTTCGCGCACGGCCAGACGATGTTCTGCTTCGCTTCAGGACGCGATAATGTTTGGGCTTAGCTGCTCTGATACGCACGTTTTAAATCGTAACACGTGCCGTGTTCAGTCTACGTGTTGCGCTCCGTATCAATACGCTACGTGTTGCGTGTTGCGTATCGGGGCAGCTAAGCGTCTGGGTCAGGAAGCGCAGATCTCGACCAAGAAGTGTGCTCCAAGATGCCCCAGGCAGTGCTTGCACTTGGGGGTCCTTACATCCGGTCCGAAGAGCTGGGCTTCTGTGTGTCGGTCTGGCGTCTCCGTCGCCGCCCCGTCGCCGCCCCGTCGCCGCTGCGGGTGCAAATCCACGCAGAGCAGCGCAAAGCAAGGCCAAGCAATCTTCTGCTTCGCTTGGCAGTGCAGCGCAGCGCAGAGCAATGCAGAGCAGTGCAGCGCAGAGAAGAGCACTGCAAGGCAGTGGAGCGGCAGCGCAGGGCAATGCTAAGCATTTTGCGCAGCAGTGGGAAGCAGGGTCACGCAGCGCAGCGTGCGTGAGCTCCTACCACGTCGGCTGCGCTCGCTCGCCCCTACTTCACAGACGCGCCACAGAACTCACACCGCATATCTCAAACCACTTAGATGAGTACGTCTGCTCCTGCCACAGCGTTTGCGCCACATTGCTCACGCCACGTATATCGCACAGCATAGATTGAGCACATCGGCTATCACAAGACACCGCAGACTGCACCAAGCGTTCTTCGTGGCACCCGTATTACGTAGATTGCACCTCCACGGACCGTCACGCGGATTGCATTGCGCGGATTGCGCAACACGGCTCCCGCCACATAGCTTGCATTGCTCAGCTTGCACCACATTGATTGCACCATCGAGTACGTCACCACCCACCAAACCACCCCAACCCAACCCGAAGGCCTCAATGTGCCATCCATTTCCAGTTGGGGGGGCTCGGGGAACATCGAACAAAAACACACATGGCACCCGCACCCCCCCCCCCCAACAACGAAATTCGGGTCCTTGGGTTGGGTTGGAGTGGTCTGGCAGGTAGTCAGTATGCCAGAGACCACTGCTTTGGGCCCACGCTGGCTAGCATGCATTATAGCATAATGCCTTCTCGTCTGTGCCCGCTGCGTTCCAACTAAAGGCAGAGGCCCCACGAAGAGCCCCCCCGGGGGACCACGCCACCGTCGTCGACCGATCTGGGGGCGTCGCGAGAGCCGATTCACGGATCGAACGATTATTCCCCCCCGGGGCCGTCGGACAGCGATTCGCGTGATGAATGGGCCCCGCAGGAAGTTGCCGAGACGTCTAGAAGCCATACGGAAATCCGGGCGTCGGAGATATGGGTCCTTGTATTCCTCCTCCCTCCTGGTCCTCTTCTCTCCTCCTCCTCCTCCTCCTTTTCCTCCTCCTCCTCTTCCCTGCTTCTGATCGCACGCCTTCCCCTCTTCCTCCTCTTCCACCCCTCTTCCTTCATTCGTCTTCCGCCTCCTCCTCCTCCATGTCCTTATCCTCCGTCTCCCCTCTTTCTCCTCCTCCTCAACCTGAGCGACGACAGCAAGCGGGGTGGACATCGCGGACGTTCGCGCGCAAGTTTCCCGCATGAGGACGGGAGCAAGCGCCCTCTTCTCCGTTATGTCTTCTTGGATCGGACCTGCTGATGTTCGCTGCTCGCCTCCTCCTCCGTGCCCTCCTCCTCCTGGTTGCTCCCCCTTTCCCTCCTCCTCGTGCCTCCTCATGCCTCGCTCCTCCTCCCCCCCCCCGTCCCCTCCTCTTCAGGCCTCCTGCTCCCCTCCTCCTGCTTCCTCCCCCATCCCCCTCCCCCCTCTTCTGCCCCCGACCGGCCCTCCCTGCCCCTCCCCCCTCCGCGGCCGCTTCCGCCGCCGAGAGGCCATAGACATGGAGGACATGGACGAGGAGCCGCGATGGACCACCCACCCGCCCCAGGGCAGGAGGACGATCGAGGCGCCAAGAACGGGCTCCTGAAGGGAAATGGCCCTGGAGGTTTCTCACCGCGTTCCCGGATCTCCGGGGGCATGTGTCTTCCGATCCCAGCGTTTTTCGTTGGTTCCGGCGTCTGGTATCCGTGATCGGGCTTTGGACCATCTAAGACGGATCTCGGACGAAAACCTACACCGGGTGGAGGGATCGAGACCCTGGGCACACGCACCGGGTAGCTGGGTCTGTACCCACTGCATGAGCCCTCCAAGGGCCGCAGGACCGCGAGGAACCGGCTTGGGATGACGAGCTGGTCCTGGGGGAAAGGGCCCAGGATCCCGGACCAATTTCCTCAGGGTTCGCGTCCTCATGTGCATATAGATACACACGCATATGTGTACACATCTATATATATATATGTATAAATATAAATATATCCCTATCTCTCTCTATGTATATAGATATGTATGCGTATATGTGGATGTGTGTATATGTATGTCTGTCTGTATGGATGTATGTATATATGTATGCACGCATGTATGTATGTGGGTATGTATGCATGTATGTATGTGTTAATGCATGTATGTATGTATGCATACATGCATGTATGTATGTATGACTGTATGTCTGTATGCATGTATGTATGTATGTATGCATGTATGCATGTATGCATGTATGCATGTATATATGTATGTGTGTGTATGTATGTATATTTAATGTATCATGTCTATATATGGATATATGTGGGCAAGGCATCTTGCCGGTGAGACGTTATTTCAAACACGATCGAATGATCTCGCTCAGGCCCGCCCACGAGCAGGCTCGAACCCAATGTATCCGCAGTCGCCCAGGGCGTTGCTGCGTGACGGCCCCTGCCCCATCCCCGTTAGCTAGAGTGGTGTTTGAGACTAGGTGGCGTAAGGTTTTCCTTTTGTTTTGAGACCATCTTCCCGTATCTGGTGAACAACAGAGGGTGAGGTGAGGAAGCGAGCAAGACCGGGAGAAGCACGGCATCCAAAAGGAATAGGAACATATTCGGGAAGGTGTTTTCTTCCGTTGGCCATTGCAAGTGGTGACAACAACAATTGGCCGCGTCGAAGGGCTCGATCTTTCCCGTGGCGGGCGGGTCAGGGCCACACGATGGCCTTGGGGCCACCGAGCAGCCAGTCCAGAGAAGCACACAGGAGCGTCGTCTCTGCCACTCTGGCCACACTCTGGGCCTCTCTGAGGTGTCTGCCTCTTTGTTCGTGGGCCCGCTTGCTTGGATCACCGCGGGGGGGTGCTGAGGGGATAGAGGGGCTGCACGTGGATGCTGAGGTGGGGCGGATCTGGCCCATCCAGTTTCGGGCAACTGTAACCTCAGTATCCTCGTGTGTAACCCCCCTATCACCGTAGCGACCCCCGCGATGATCCATATGCGGGCCCTTGGCCCGGACTTCGGGGGGCCCCTGTGTTGCAACTCATGTCGGGACGCCGGATCTTTGGGGGCGCCCAGGGCTGGCGTCTCGGCCCCGGTCGCCCCCTGAAGGCCGAAAGTGGCAGAAAAAGCTTTAGGAATCCATCCGGAATCCTCGGGGATCCTTAGGAATCCATAAGAATCCTCAGGAATCCATGGGGATCCCTGAGGAGTCCTTCACGCATCCGCAGGGATCCTCCGGAATCCTCAGGGACCCTAACAACCAGCAGCCCTAGCAACCCCCCAGAGGGGGCCGAAGGCCCCCCTGTGGGGTGCGTTTGCCCAGACGTCCGACGTCGTGTTTTTTTTTTTTCATAGCGTGTCTCCTCCGCAGACGAGCGGCTCCTCCACAGAGGGCTGGATTTCTTCCCCAGAACCGGCATTTCGTCCAGAGTGCTGTTGTTACGCTTCTGCGGGGCCCAGAAGGGGGAACCAGGGAAGCCGAGAATGAGCAAAGATCTTCCGTCGCGATTTTTTCAAAAGCCGAGCATGCCTGCCTGGGTAGACCAGAGTTGCAAGGGCAACCCAGCCGCGGCGACGAGGGAGGCCCACAAAAAAGCCGAACGACGTCCAAGGTCCTCGAACCAACGATCACAACGATAGTTAACAACGGTAACAGTGACACCGATAACGAAGATGACAACGATAACAGCGATGACAACGATAACGAAAAAGATCACGACCACCACGGTACCCATCGACCTCGACCCGATCCTCGCACAACGTCTTCGCCCCTCGACTCTCGTTGTTTGATCCTCGATCTGGCCGCGCCCCGAGGAGCTGCGCCAGGCCATCCTCCTCTCCATGCAGGAAGCCGGCGGCCCCGCGCCGGCGCAGCCCGCCGCGACCGCACCCGCGGCGGCCGCCGAGCCCGCGCCGGCGGCCGCGGCGGCCGCCGAGCCCGCCGCGAAGAAGGCGCGGACGGAGGACGAGCCGATGCCCGACGCAGCCGCCGCGGCGCCGGCAGCCCCCCGCCGCCCGCTGCTCTCAGGGGGAGCGTCAGGCTTCGAGGGTCGGGCTTGTTCGGACGCCTCCGTCGGTTCTTGGAGGTTTCCCAGCCTCGCCCGCGAGGAAGGTCGGAGCGGGGGGGACGAGCCGATGCCCGACGCGGCCGCCGCGGCGCCGGCATCTCCCGCCGCCCGCTCCTCTGAGTCCGAGGAGCGCGAGCTGAGATCATGAGGTTGCCTTCGGGTGGCCCCCTCGCCGCCACGGCTGGACGCTGCTCGGAAGACTGGTGCGTTTGCACCACGCGGGGGTCCTAGGGGCCGATTGTGCGCTGCCGTCCCACCTCGCCCTGCTCCGACTGAGGGGCAGCGTGAGGGTTTGAGGTTTGCCGTTTTCGGATCAGACGCTGCCGTCGGTTCTCGGCGGTTCTCCAGCCTCGGGATGCCTTCAGCAGCCGCGCCTCGCCGTGGGCGTTCCGGGGCGCCCGGAGGATCCCGCGCGGCCGCCGGAGAGCCGAGCTATGATGCGAAGGCCAGGACGCAACGCTAATAGGCGGGGATGGGCTCAGGGGGGAAGCGTCGATCCCCAATCGCCCATTCATCGCCGGTGGGGGCCGGATGATGAGCCCACCGCCGCCAGGGCCATTCAGAGTCGCCATCGGGGCCCCATCGCCGATCCGCCGGCGACGCATCGCCGAGTCCAGGCAGATGCTCTTCCTCGCGAACCAGTCGCCCCCCCCGACGTTGCCCGATCCCCAATCGCCCATTCATCGCCGGTGGGGGCCGGATGATGAGCCCACCGCCGCCAGGGCCATTCAGAGTCGCCATCGGGGCCCCATCGCCGATCCGCCGGCGACGCATCGCCGAGTCCAGGCAGATGCTCTTCCTCGCGAACCAGTCGCCCCCCCCGACGTTGCCCGTCGTCCTCCTCTGCCCTATAGGCCTCCGGCGGACGGTATTCTGAAGCTGGCCGGTTGGGGCTGTTCGATCTGAAGAATAGGCTGGCCTCGCCAGTCTTGCTTTCCGCGACTGCCAGGCCCAAGTGCTCCCGAGTGTCTCCGAGCATTGCGTCTCACCATGCCCACCACGGGACGCGTCACGGCGTCGCGCCGTTCAGGTTTCAAGACATCACGCCGTCTGGGCACAGCCGACCATTCATGTCTAAGATATGCGGCCATACACTCTCATCAAACATCCCAATGCACTCAACACCGATGACGTACATCAGCGACGCCTGGGTGGTATACACACGCACGCGCGCACATCCATACATGTCTCTTAGATCGCACACATGACGGGCATGAATCGCAGGCACCAGGCACACGCAGTAAGAACAGACATCAGCATGGCACACCTATGGCAACTGGACTTAGTATACATACGCAAGACATGCCAATACCAAACGCCGAGGACTCATGTCAATAACATCAATCACGATAAACACAAACACCGTGCACCAGTACGGAACATCACTACCAGACGACAATATCGTGCGCTCTCATTGCACTTCAAGAATATGCACCAGCACCAGACAACAGCAACAAACATCCACATCACCACGACGACATCGATAAATTGCAGCTTAAACCTGTACCACGGCCATACGCGAATACCATGTACAAATATTAGAACCACGGGCGCACATCCAGATCACACGCCCGTGATACACAGCAGCATCATCCACACACACCACACACATTAACCTTACACCATGAAGAACATGCAGTAGCCACAATCACAAGGGGCACACGTTAACACCATTCCCCCCATAACCGATCACTTTCAGACAGCCGCGAGTCCACACATACGCGAATTGCAAGCATTCGTACCAGGCGCCAAGACCATACAACGATAACACGCACCAGCAGCATATCGTCAATAACCGGCAGCAGGGACATCTACTAGAACGCCTGCCATTCACATACGCACCAGTTGATTTCACGCACGGGCAGCCGCGATATATTTTAGTACCAGCCGTTTACAGCACACAGTCATGACATAATCGAGGAGCAGGCACCAATGACACCTGAAACCTACGAGCGCGTATCATGGTCAATGGTGATCGTTTTTATGCATTGTTTTGCCGGTCGGCGCGGGCCCCCCAACCCCCCTTCCCGCACCCCGTGGAGTAGATCTTGGCTGTTTTTTGGGCGCCTGTTTCGAGCGGGTGGAGTCTCCCCTCATAGGACCCACTGTTGCAAACAGTCGCACTAAGCAGAGGTCCGGAGCCAGACCCCTCCCCTCCCCCCCGCTTCCGCCCAACGTCGAAACGCCGAATATAAAAAACGTTCACATGACAATCCGTCCAACCTCCTCCACTGGCCTCCTGGGCTCACTAGGCCTGCTTGGAGGTTCGGAGTTTTGGGTCGGCGTATTCGATGGCTTTGCACATACCTCGTCGATTGGGCCGAACTTCAGCCGATGTATAGCACATCTTCGTCCTCTCGGTGTTGTGGTACATATTTCAGCGTACAGCTAGCATGCAGAGGCACAATGGACAATCATTCGTTCACTCTCCTCCTCCCGCCCTCCTCCCCGTGGGAAAAAGCTGAGGTCGATACGTTTGGAAGCCGCGGATTTGAGAAATCAATCGCTCACGAATAGCACTTATGAAGGGCATCGGGGATCTGACGTTTTCAGCCCTGTTGGGCATCCGGGATGCGTGGCGTCGCCGCTGCCGTCTTCGGGGTCGCGCCCCAGCTGAGGTCGCCCTCGGCCTCCGTTTCAACGCCCTGACGGCAGGACGGGATTTTTTCCAACCTCGAGGAGGCCGTCGTCGGGTGGCGTCCAGGGATGTTCCTGAGCCCGGACGCAGTCCTCGGGTGATGATGTTCCAACCTACTTTAGCTTTGATCACCCGAAAGAATTTCGCTCACCACGAAAGAACCGAACATTTTGGGGTTTCGCGTGTCGGGCCCTGGGAAGCGATACTCGTTCGACATTGTTTCGATACTTTTCTGGGTGGTCGAAATTTTTTCTGGGATCTGGTCTTTAAGTACGATGGGAGCAACATCAAAGTGAGGGGGCTGAACCGAACGGTCATTCACTGTCCCTGGGTGCGTGGCTGAAGTGGAATTCCGCGATGCGGATTATTGTTGTTGTTTGTTGTTTGTTGTTTGTTGTTGTCGCCATCCCCCCCGCGATCCGCCCCGCGACTCACCCGCGACCCATCCCGCGACCCACCCGCGACCCACCCGCGACCCACCCGCGACCCACCCGCGACCCACCCCGCGACCCACCCGCGACCCATCCGCGACCCACCCGCGACCCACCCCGCGACCCGCCCGCGACCCACCCCGAGACCCCCCCGCGACCCACCCGCGACCCACCGGCGACCCACCCGCGACCCACCCGCGACCCACCCCGCGACCCACCCGCGACCCACCCGCGACCCACCCGCGACCCCGCGACCCACCCGCGACCCTCCCGCGACCTGCTTCTTTTGCATTCGTTCCAGGTGGAGAACTTGCGACCCACCCGCGACCCAAACCGCGCCCGCGACCCACCCGCGACCCACCGCGACCCTTCCGCGACCCACCCGAGACCCACCCCGCGACCCACCCAAAATTTTCGGCGCTTGCGGCGGGCTTCTTTTGCATTCGTTCCAGGTGGAGACCCTGCGACCCACCCGCGACCCAAACCGCGTTCAGTATACAAATCAAAATTTCGGCGCCTGCGGCGGGCTGTTTTGAATTCCTTCCAGGTGGAGGTAGAGAGCCCGCGACCCACCCGCGACCCAAACTACGTTCACTGAACAAGCCAAGACTTCGGCGCCTGCGGCGGGTTTCTTTTGCATTCGTTCCAGGTGGAGAACCTGCAACCCAAACCGCGTTCAGTGTACAAATCAAAAATTTCGGCGCCTGCGGCGGGCTGTTTTTGAATTCCTTCCAGGTGGAGGGAGTGCCCGCGACCCACCGGCGACCCAAACTACGTTAACTGAACAAGCCAAAACTTCGGCGCCTGCGGCGGGCTCGTTGTCTAGCTTGAAAATGTTGCGCCTTCGGCGGGCTTCTTCAGAGCCTCGCAGACTGCAGACGTCCCCGCCGCCCCCTCACTTTTATCCGCAACTGCGGGGTGCTACGTAATCTTCGGGAAGGAGTTGAGATCTCCCGGATCCCCATGTTGATCGTACAGTGCTCAGGGGGGTCGATACATTAAGAGGATCGCCAGTTCCTGCTGAGGGTCGCGGTTCCAGGTTCGACGTTCGAGGAGGTTTTGGAATGTTTGGGGTCGTTGGGGTGCGCGAGCTGTGGAGGGTCCAAGGGGCCCCATTCTCTGACCGAAATGGCGCTTCCTCGAAGAAGTTGCGACCCCCTAGTGGTGACCCCCCTTGGAAATATCTAGGTGAAAGACTAAGACGTCGGAGGTATGGGTAATCCTTCCGGCGTGAACCCACAGGGGTCTTGCAAGGAAAAGGGGACACGAGGTCCTGGGCCATCGTCGGCATCCCAGGGTTGCCGTCGAAGGGCGGTTCAGAAAAGCCTCAGGGTGTGAAGGACTCGCGACCCGTATCCGTCAGGATCTCAGGCGTAACGTGAGGGGGGGATCGCCTGATGTGGGGACGCACCGACCCCCAATCGCTCACTCATCGCCAGTAGGGGCCCGATAGGCCACCCTGGCCACGACCGTGCGGCTTCACTATCGGGGGCCTATCGCCGATCAGTCGGCGATGTATCGGCGATTCAAGGTCCATGTTCCTTCCCCTGAGCCAGTCATCAGGGATCCTCAGCTCCCACTGGCTCATGGCGATCCTCGATGGTTGCCTCTTCCTGCGCCCCTGGTGTCTCTCTCTCTCTCTCTCTCTCTATTCCTTTCTGTCCCCTCTCGGAAAAGCGCAAGACTCGAGTTTGCCAGAACGCGGGGCTGCCACCGCTCCTTGACCGTCCCCGCATGAGTTTCACGGTCCAGTTTTCGCCACACGTTTGCAGCAGGAGTTCGCGTCGTATTTCAGACTAGGTTCCGTCAAATCTCTGATAGCCCCCGCTGGTCAAATTCATGTTGCTTGAAATTTGAATGTTCCTCTAACCCTTTCTCTACACCTGAAGAAATGTCTCAGCTTGCGCTTGGCGATCCGAAGTACATATCTATATTGCTCGTCAACTGCACCTCTGACTCGTGGATGATAATGATGTTGTTTACGGTGCTGGCTATGATGCGGTGGTGATGGTGAGTTTGATGATGTTGTTGATGTTGTTGCTGCTGGTGATGCGTTTGACGATGATGGCGATGATACTGACAAGCATGATCATGAGGGTAATGATGAGGACGACGATGAGGATTATGATGATGATGCTGATGATTATGATGATGGTAAGTATGATTATGTCGCTGATGTTGGTGATATTGCTGATGCTGATGTTGCCGATGATGACGACTATGACGACGATGCTGATAGTGGTGATGACGAGGTTGTGTCTGATGATGGTGATTGCGACAACGACGATGATGCTGATTCTGGTAATGACGATGAGGATGACGATGGTGATGATGATGATGATGATGATGATGATGATGATGATAGTCATGGTCATGATCAGGATCATGATCATGAGGACGATGATGATGCTGAGGCCGATGACGATGGAGGTGGTGTGGTGATGATGAAAACGCTGCTGCTGCTGATGATGATGACGGTGATGATGGTAATGATGATTACGATGATGCTGCTGATGATGATGCTGATGATGATGGTCATCGTGACGATGATGATGATGCTGCTCCTGATGATGGTGATGATGATGATGATGATGATGATGATGATGCGACTGCTGATGCTACTGCTGATGATGACGATGATGATGACAATGGCAATGATGATGGTGTCGGTGGTGGCGATGAAGATGATGCTGTTGATGATGATTTCGCTGCTGCTGATGATAATGTTGATAAGGTTGCCGATTATGATGATGCTGATGCTGAGTATGATGATGCCAATGAAAATGATACTGACGACTATGATGATGATGATGATGATGATGATGATGATGATGATGATGCTGAGGACGATGGTCATGATGATGGTGATAATAATGCTTCTCTGATGATGACGTTCGTGATGGTGGTGATGATGATGGTGGTGATGATGAGGATGATGATACGGATGGGGATGGGGATGAGGATGACGATGAGGAGGAGGACGAGGGTAAACATGATGATGATGATGATGATGATGATGGTGATGATGATGATGATGATGATGATGATGATGATGATGATGATGATGATGTGCGATGATGTTGTTGATGCTGATGCTGCTGGTGATGATGCTGCTGATGATGATGCTGATGACGATGATGATGATGATGATGATGATGATGATGAGGAGGAGGAGGAGGAGGAGGAGTGTGAAGATGAGGATGATAACAAGGAGGAGAAGAGGAAGATGAGGAGGAGACGGATGGGCTTTGTTCCGGCCCTCTCCGAATCAGCTATCGTGTATTATGTGGCTTGCCCTGCCCCTCCAGCACGAGGCGGCGGGCGGCGGCGAAGTGGACCCCAAGTGGTTTCAAGACCCTGCGTTCGTGCAGGATCCATGCGGGGAGGGTGGGGCGGGGTAGAGGAGGGAGGGAGGAAGAGGAGGAGGAAGAGGATGAGGTGGAGGAGGAAGGACGAGGAGGAGGAGGAGGAGGACGAGGAGGAGGAGGAGGAGGAGGAGGAGGAGGAGGAGGAGGAGGAGGAGGAGGAGGAGGAGGAGCTGAGCAGCGCGCAGCGCGAGGCGCCAGGCGGCTGGCGCGCAGCGCTGTGGGCGCCTCTGACTGGACACGGAGGACGGCGGCCATGGGGCGGCGCCGGGCGGCGGCGGCCAGGGCTGGCCGCCGAGGCGCCAGCAGCAGGGGGGACTGGCGCCTCAGCGCGCTGCTGCTGGCCGCGGGCGCAGCGGCGCGGCTGGCCGATGCGGCGATGAGGAGCTGCCGGCGGGGCAGACGTCCAGGCGAGCGCCGGAGGCCAGGGATGCCTGGCGGGCTGTTGGCCCTGGCTGTTGGTCCCGGCCGCGGGCCGGTGCTCGCGGCGCACCGCACCGTCGTCGCGTTCGCCATGGCGATCCCGTGCATCGGAATGTGTAGGCCCTGGCCGGCGCACCCCCTCCGCTCCAGGGCCAGTCACCGCTGAGCGCTGCTCTGGTTCCAGGGCCCGGGGCTCGCGGCGGCTCCCGATCAAGGTGCTTGGGCGCGAGAACAGAAGCGTTCGCCGTTCGGAGGAGGAGGAGGAGGAGGACGACGACGAGGGCGAGGAGGGATTGATTGGGGGGGGGAGGAGGAGCAGGAGCAGCAGGGAGTCAGAGCCCCGAATCATCAGGGGTAACTCGCGTCAGGGCTAACTCGGGTTCGCTTTGCAGGATTCCGAATCCGAGTTCCCCCGGACCCGAGTCACCCCGGATAATTTGGGCGTCCAGAGCCCAAATCATCAAGGGTAATCCGGGTCAGGGCTAGCTCGGTCTCAATTTTCGGGAATCCAAGCCAGAGTTGCCCCGGACTCGAGTTACCCCGGACTACTCGGACGCCCAAGGGAGCAGGGAACAGGGATGGGGGAGGAGGACGATGCGTGTCTAGAGCCTGCCGCGCTTGGCGACCGCTTCGGCCCACGCCGAGGCGCCAACGGCCGAGCCAATGCCCACCTTCCAAAACTCCAGGATCGTAACCAAGGACAGGAGGAATTTCAAAAAATCGTCCTAGCATTGTATGGGGACGATCTCTTGATTTTGTTATCACTATTTGTAAGCATTTTTGGTATTTGAAATGTTTCGTCCAAGACCCGCCTGTAGGGAGACACGCCCGACCTAATAGTACCTCGGACCGACGCCGAGGCACCAGCGCCGAGCAGATACCCAGCCTTGACACTTGGAGCCGCCAGCCGGCGAGCGAGAATTGAGGAAGCACCCACCGTGGTTTGAGGGCGAGCCAGGGCGAAACAGAACATTGGGCAAGTTCCCTCGCATCCCGCTAGGGCGGGTCGGGAGGCACGTACCAGCAGAATGTTGGCGTGGACCGCGCCAGTGCCCTCCAGGAATCGGGCCGGGCGAAAGGGGGGGATTGGGAAAGGGGGGGTTACGAAATTTGCTGCATGCAGCTGGTTTCGGCCTCACCGAGGGGCCCATTCCTCGATACATGGCCGCCTCCGGCGCCGGGAGGCGCCGGGAAAATCGGCTACGTAAGCTGGTTCTCAACCCCCCCCCTTTGCTATCCCCCCCTTTCGCCCGACCCTCCAGGAAGTCCCGGGCGCGGCTTCCGAGCTCCAGCGGGGGCAGGCTGGCGCCGACGGAACGCTGCGCCCGCATCGGGCCGCCGCCGCCCCGGCCCGCGGCGCGTCTCGGGCGCGCCGAGCCCCCTGAGCCAAAGCGGCCACGGGTTGTGAGGCGGAGGAGGAGGCGGAGGAGGAGGAGGAGGAGGAGGAGGAGGAGGAGGAAGAGAAGGAAGAGAAGGAGGAGGAGGAGGAGGAGGAGGAGGCGGAGGCGGAGGCGGAGGAGGAGGCGGAGGAGGAGGAGGCAGCAGAGGGCGAGAAGCGAGGAGGCCGAGGATGCGGCGGAGGCGGAGGGAATTGGCGGAGGGCGGAGGGGGGTGAGGACGAGGCAGGGCGACGGCGGGAGGGTTTTGGAGGGAGGGAGCGGGAGCACGAAGGGACTCGAATGGGATCCTCACTGCCCACCAAGCCACCCCAACCCAACCCGAAGGCTCCGATTTGCCCTCCATTACCAGTGTGGGGGGGTCGGGGAACATGGAAATTAGCCTGGCGAAGGACCCAACCATATGCAGCGAATGCCGTATTCAATGGAGCTCCCGGTGGGGCCGCGAAACGTGTGAGGGGTGTGCCGGCATGAGTGAGGCGGACGCATGCGGGCGATGGCTGGGACATTCGGTGGAGCTCCCTGTGGGGCCACGATGCGTGTGAATGGTGTGCCAAAATTGGTGTGGCTGACGCATGCGGGCTGCGCCACTGGGTTTTTCGGTGGAGCTCCCTATGGGGCCACGAAGCGTGTGGGGCGTGCGCCGACATGGGTGTGGCGGACGCGTGCGGGCGGTTGTACCTCCGGTGGAGCTCCCTATGGGCCACGACAAGTGTGAGGGGTGTGCCGATATGGGTGTGCGTGACGCATGCGGGCTGCGCCACTGGGACCTTCGGTGGGGCTCCCTATGGACCACGAAACGAGTGAGGGGTATCTCCCGATGGGGCCACGAAACGTGTGAGAGGTTTGCTGAAATGAGTGTGCGTGACCGATGCGGTCGGCGCCACTGGGACCTTCGGTGGGGCTCCCTATGGGGCCACGAAGCGAGGGAGGCGTGTCTCCTATGGGGCCACGAAACGTGTGAGGGGTGTGCCGATATGGGTGTGCGTGACGCATGCGGGCTGCGCCACTGGGACCTTCGGTGGAGCTCTATGGGGCCACGATGCGTGTGAGGGGTGTGCCGAAATGAGTGTGCGTGACGCATGCGACCTGCGCCACTGAACCTTCGGCGGAGATCCCTATGGGGCCACGAAACGAGTGAGAGGGGTGTCTCCCTATGGGGCCACGAAGCGTGTAAGGGTTGTGCCGCAATGGGTGTGCGTGACGCATGCAGGCTGCGCCACTGGGACCTATGGTGGAGATCCCTATTGGGGCCACGAAGCGTGTGAGGGGTGTGCCGAAATGGGTGTGCGTGACGCATGCGGGCTGCGCCACTGGGACCTTCGGTGGAGATCCCTATGGGGCTACGGCACGTGTGAGGGGTGTGCCGATATGGGTGTGCGTGACGCATGCGGGCTGCGCCACTGGGACCTTCGGTGGAGCTCCTGGGCCACGAGACGTGTGAGGGGTGTGCCGAAATAGGTGTGCGTGGCGCATGCGGTTGGCACCACTGGGACCCTCGGTGGAGTTGCCTTTGGGGCCACGAAACGTGTGAGGGGTGTGCCGAGATGGGTGTGCGTGACGCATGTGGGCTGCGCCACTGGGACCTTCGGTTGAGCTCCCTATGGGGCCACGAAGCGTGTGAGGGGTGTGCCGAAATGGGTGTGCGTGACGCATGCGGGCTGCGCCACTGGGACCTCCAGAGGAGCTCCCTATGGGGCCACGAAGCGTGTGAACGGTGTGCCGATATGAGTGTGCGTGACGGATGCGGGCTGCGCCACTGGGACTTTCGGTGGAGCTCCCTATGGGGCCGCGACACTTGTGAGGGGTGTCCCGACATTGGCGTGCGTGACGCATGCGGGCTGCGCCACTGGGACCTTCGGTGGAGCTCCCTATGGGGCCACGAAACGTGTGAGGGGTATGCCGATATGGGTGTGCGTGACGCATGCGGGCTGCGCCACTGGGACCTTCGGTGGAGTTCCCTATGAGGCCACCAAGCGTGTGAGGGGTGTGCCGATTTGGGTGCGCGTGACGCATGCGGGCTGCGCCACTGGGACCTTCGGTGGAACTCTTTGTGGGGTCACGATCAGCGTGAGGGGTGCACCGACGATGATGATGGGGATGATGATGATGATGAGGCTCACGGTAATGATGATGGCGTCGATAACGACGATAATGATGACGATGATGGTGATGATGACGATGATGATGGTTACGATATCGATGATGATGATAATGTTAATAATGATGACAATAACATGCATAATAAAATTGGTAATAATGATGATCATACCAATAATGTTGATGATGGTGATTATGATAATGATGATAATGCTAATGATGCTGATGTTGATGATGATGATGATGATGAGGAGGAGGAGGAGGAAGAGGATGAGGATGAGGGTGATGATGAGAAGCGGAGGGAGGGGGAGGAGGAGAGGAGAGGAGTGACGTGGGGCGCTGTCTCTTCAAAACGAGGACCCAACACCACAGGACAGTTGGGAATAAGCCTGGCGAATAATCCAACCACATGCAGTTGTGAGAACCGCAATTGTAAATTCCGTCTTCGGTGGAGCTGCCCGTGGGGCCGCGAAACGTGTGAGGGGTGCGCCGACGTGGGTGAGGCAGACGCATGCGGGCGGTGGCTGGGACCTCCAGTGGACCTCCCTATGGGGCCACGAAGCGTGTGAGGGTTGTGCCGAAATGGGTGTGCGTGACGCATGCGGTCGGCGGAACTGTGGCATTCGGTGGAGCTCGTCATAAGGCAACGAAGCGTCACAAAACGTGTGAGGGGTGTGCCGAAATGAGTGTGGCGGACGCCTGCGGGCGTTCTCAGTGGGACCTGCGTTGGAGCTCCCTATGGGGCCACGAAACGTGTGAGGGGTGTCTCGAAATGTCTGTGCATGTGACGCATGCGGGCTGTGCCAATTGGGCCTTCGAGGGAGCTCCCTGTGAGGCCACGACACGTGTGAGGGCCTTCGGTGGAGCTCATTATGGCGCCAAGAAGGTGTGAGCGGTGTGCCGGAATGGGTGTAGGTGACCCATGCGGGCTGCGCCATTGGGCTCTTCGGTGGAGCTCCCTATGGGGCCACGAAGCGTGTGAACGGTGTGCCGAAATGGGTGTGCGTGACGGATGCGGGCTGCGCCACTGGGACCTCTGGTGGAGCTCCCTATTGGGCCACGAAGCGTGTGAGGGGTGTGCCGAAATGGGTGTGCGTGACGCATGCGGGCTTCGCCAGTGGCACCTTCGGCGGAGCTCCATATGACGCCAAGAAACGAGAGAGGGGTTTGCCGAAACGGGTGTGCGTGACGCATGCGGGCTGCGCCACTGGGACCTTCGGTGGAGCTCCCTATGGGGCCACGACAAGTGTGAGGGGTGTGTCAGAATGTGTGTGCGTGACGCATGCCAGGCTGCGCCACTGGGACCTTCGGTGGAGCTCCCTATGGGACAACGAAACCTGTGAGGGATGTGCCAAAATAGGTGTGCGTGACGCATGCGGGCTGCGCCACTGGGACCGTCGGTGGAGCTCCCTATGGGTCCACGAAGCGTGTGAGAGGTGTCCTGAAATTGGTGTGCGTGACGAATGCGGGCTGCGCCACTGGGACCTTCGGTGGAGCTCCGCCACGAAACGTGTGAGGGGTGTGCCAAGACGCGTGTGCGTGACGCATGCGGGCTGTGCCACTGGGACCGTCGGTGGAGCTCTTTATGGGGCCACGGAACGTGTAAGGGGTGTGCCGAAATGGGTGTGCGTGACGCATGCGGGCTGCGCCATTGGGACCTTCGGTGGAGCTCCCTATGGGGCCACGAAGCGTGTGAGGGGTTTGCCAAAATTGGTGTGCCGACGACGATGACGACGATGATGACGATGATGATGATGATGATGATGAGGAGGAGGAGGAGGAGGAGGAGGAGGATGCGGATGGGGATGGGGATGATGATGATGATGCTGATGATGATGATGATGATGATGATCATGATCATGATCATGATCATGATGATGCTGATGATGATGATGATGATGATGATGATGATGATGATGATGATGATGATGATGATAATGATAATGATAATGATAATGATAATGATAATGATGATGATGATGATGATGATGATGATGATGATGATGATGATGATGATGATGATTCTGCTGATGATGACGATAACGATGGTCATGATGACGATGGTGATGGTGATGATGCTGATGATGATGATGAGGAGGAGGATGAGGACGAGGATGAGGATGAGGACGAGAAGATGATGGAGGAGGAGGATGAGGAGAGGAGGGGAGTGACGCGGGGCGCTGTCTCTTCAAAACGAGGACCCAACACCACAGGATGGTTGGGGAAAACACATATGAAGCCCGTACCCCACCCCAACCCGAAACTCGGGTCTTCGGGTTGGGTTGGGGTGGTCTGGTAGGTTGTCAGATTCGAGTGGCTTGATCCTGTCAACCGTCTGTATGCCGACTGAGACGACGAAGTGGAGCCAGCACCAGCCCCCAGTCCTCTCGTGGACGAGAAGGGCTGCCTCAAAAAGCCTTGACGGATTACCTGCAGTGTTGCTGAGAACGTTTGGCTCCAGCCATCTCCCCCGCATTGCGCGCACGATTGCACCCTAGCAGTGTAGCTGAAGATGTGTCGCCTCTGCTTGCTCGAGCTGATCCCCGCACTGTAGCTGAGGACTGCTCTACGCCCATCTCGCACTCCCTGATTGCAGCGCTGTAGCTGATATCGGGCCCTAGCTGCGCCTTTCGCCTCTCGCTGAGCGCGACAGGTTGCTGGCCTTCCAACGCTGCAGCTGATGATTGCGGCTTTGCCTCCTTCTGCTGTGGTAGCGATCGAAATTGCTGCCATTTGTCCCACTTCTGGCCCGCGCCGCTCCCGGCATTGGTTCGTGGGATATCGGGCTCTAGTTTCGCCTTGCGCGTTTCTCGCACGTCCTGATTCCCGCGCTGTAGCTGACATGTCGCATTCCCCTCTGTAGCTGCTGCCCTCGGGCTCTCACTTCGCATTCCTTATACCGATGAGGTGCCACCGAGCCGCGTGCCAACCAGCACGAACTGGCACTGCCTGCTTTCTTGCACGAGCTGATCCCAGCAGCGTTATGGTTGTTGTTGCTTGCTCCTCGCGCGCCCTGACCCCAACGCTGCAGCGGATGACATCGGGCTCTATCTTCGCACTCCATCTCGCTGAGTAGCGGCAGAGTTTGTTGCTGCTGCTCGGCCTCATCACACGCACGATCTCCGGCCCGCGCGACCTTGCTTTTCTCACACTGAACCCTACTCACAAGCCCTGTTGCCAACGCTGTGGCTGATGGCGCCGGATTCTGTCTTAGTTTGTTGCCACTGCTTGGTCTGCCTACACGCACGAACTGGCCTCAGCCCTGTAGCTGGTGACATTGGCCCGCGCGGTTTCGCCTTTCTCACGCGTTCGCCCCCCAGCGGTGTAGCTGATGATGTCGGCCCACGCGTCGCTTCTCGCATTGACAGCGCCTGCTGCCGCTGCTTGCCCTTTTCGCCTTGGCTGCGTTTGCTGCCGCTGCCCAGTCTTGCGCACGAGCTGACTCCATCGGTGTAGCGGACAGTACATGGTTCCTGCACCTGCGTTCCCTCGATGACAGAGGTTGCTGCCACAGCTCGTCGTTTTTCACACTGGCAATAGCGGCTGCCACTCGCACGGCTTGATCCCAGCGCTGCCATTGACGATGCTGCTTTCCTTGGGGGTTGGGCCCTGCACTGTTGCAGCGGCCCGGCGTCGGCGGTCGCTACTGCTCGCCATGGGGCGAATATGGGGATGGGGGAACATCGGGGGACGAAATCTATACATATCCACTGCTCCCTGGCCAGGCCCTTCCTGAACCCAGGAGCTGTGTATACGCCCTCCTGGCCAAACCAGGAGGGCGTGGCGTATACACAGCTGCTGTGTTGAGGATGGGCCTGGCCAGGGAGCAGTGGATATGTATAGATCTCGCCGCCCTAGAATATGGGGACGGGGGAGGGCACTCCTGGCGGCCTCGCCCGCGCCTGATGCACTGCGGCTGATGAGATTCGGCGCGGCGGTTCTTCATGGTGGCCCTCGAGCGCGAGGCCATGCCGAAGTCGTCGCTCGAGACGCCCGCGCGCGCCCCGCGCAGGGGGGGGCCGCTCGGACGCGAACTGGCTGAACATGAGGGGGCTGGGTGTCGAGGAGGTGGGCCGGGGGGTGGTCCTGGTGAAGTGGGCGGCGCGCGGCGTGTGGCGCACAGGGTATGAAGGCATCCCGCGGGAGGAGGGGCAGGAGGAGGCAGAGGGGGGCAGACTCTTTGCATTTCCAGTCTTGCACACGCCGTCAGCTTACTCTGTGTCGCGCGTCGCTGTGCCAGAAACATGCCTTTGTTTACCCACCAGGGGAACGCAGCGGCCTGAATCCCTACGCTTGTCCAGCGTGAAAAAGGCGAGGGGGGCAGGAGGAGGGGGCACGAGGAGGGGACAGGAGGGGGACGCCACCGCAGCGGGAGGAAGCACGGGGGCGGTGGCGACGTCGGCGGCGGCTCCGCGCTCGTGCAGGAGCTGCTCGGCTCTCTCCCGGGGGTGAACGTCAACGACGCCAAGATCCAGGCCGCGCTGTCGGAAGTGGGGGCCGACGGCGGGGACAAGAAGGCCTCATCCGCCCTCGTCCTCGCGCATTCCTCCTCCTCCTCCTCCTCCGCCTCCTCCTCTCCCTCCTCGTATGCGGCCTCTCTCTCTTTCTCTGTCTCTGTCTCTCTCTCTCTATGTCTCTTTCTCTCTCTCTATAGATCTCTCTCTCTCTCTTTCTATATCTCTCTGTCTCTATCTTTCTCTCCCTCTCCCGTTGACTCTATCTCTGTCTCTGTTGTCTGTTTCACTCTCTCTTTGTCTCTCTCTCTTTCTCTTTCTCTCTTTCTCTCTCTTTCTCTCTCTCTCTCTCTCTCTCTCTCCTTCCCAGCTCTCTCTCTCTCTGTTCCTCCCTCTCTTTCTTTCTCTATCTCTCTCTGCCCGTTGCTCTCACACTCCTTGTTATGTATACGCCTATCTTCATATATGCTTACATGTACATACTTACATTTATACATGTCCAGGGGCGTGTTCAATACATGTCAGGCTTCTACTACATCGAATGATATGACACAAAAGGTGTAGACTAAGACGCATGACGCCTCGCGCGCGCACGCCAGAATACATGCGATGTTGAAACGCATGTCGGGGCGCTGGTCAAATGCGCCCATGCGCGGACGATGTGGCGACGTGGTCGCGCATTGCCGCCGATGCGCCGTGGCGCCGTGGCGCGCGCGCGTCTGAGCACACATGTATTAAACAAGCATGCTCGCGCACTGAAGAAGATATGGCGACCATTCGATGACAAAAGATATCCTAAAGGCGAATATGCGAAGGTTTCTGCGACAGCTGATGACGTGTGAATAGAACATGTTGGGCAATGGGGAACCAGAAGAAACGCGTCAGCAGTCGGCAGCGCGCGCACGTGAACGCGAATGGCGCCCCCCCCCCTGGGCCCGACCTGGATGGGGGAAGCGCCCGCGATCAAAGACTCGGGGAGACGCTGGGCCTCATCAGGCAGGAGCTGGGCGACCCCTTGACCTGCTAGGAGAGCTAAACATGTAGCAACAAGGTCTTGCAATCTAAATTCCAGTCGAGGCTCAAGCAATCCAGGTAGGTCGATGGTTAAGTCGGACCTGTCCCTCTGCAGGAGGGATATTCAAATCTATTTAAACAAATCGCCTGGGGACTATTGTTTGACTATGCTTGAGCATTTAGGGGAGTGTTTTTCGAGTATCTGTTATTTGCTAAGTCTATGGATCTGGAGGGCTACTCAGTAGCACGCGGGACGGTCAGGACCCTCCTGCCCTGGACCCAGAGATCCGACGTCTTGAGTCGCCAGGACGTGGTCCCTGAGCAAACCTACCCCAGGGCTGGACCTAAACGGTGTTTTGGCGATCTCGTGGGCCGTTTTCGTTTCGGTTTCGTTTTGCTGTGCAAAGGCGGATTGAAGACAACACGAGGGAGAACGAACACAAAACGGAAACGAAAGAAGCACCGTTGAGGTTCAGCCCTGCCCTACCCTTTCCGCGGGGCCGGTTTCTCATCCCGGGCCACCTCGAGGGCCTCCGTCGCCGTCGTCGATGGTCGCTTGGCCCATGATCGTCCGATCCCCTTCTCGATGCCCGGTCTCTGCTCACCCTCCGTTTCCCCCTCCGGTTCCCTTGCCGCCCCCTCCGTTTCCCCCTGCTCTTCACCCATCTCCGAGAGGGCGCGGGAGGGGGAAGGGGTGGAGCCCCCCGGCTCTCCAGGCTCGGCCACGCGCAGAAGGGGAGCAGGGGGAGTGGGGAAGGCCTCTTACACGCACCCTGCTCCTGCGGAGGCGCGGGCCTGGTCTGTAGGCGTGAGGCCGGCGCCTTTGAAGAAGCAGTCTCCCTCGAAGACGTTTAGAAGCACCCTGCTCCTGAAGAGGCGCGGGGCCTCAGCTGTAGACGTGAGGCCGGCGCCGCCTGAAGAAGCAGCCTCCTTCTGAGAAGCCTCCCTCCTCCCCCCATACCCCCCCCCGTGTGCGCGCCGCCAACGTGCTCCTATAGAGAGAGCAGTGCCGGCGGCACCCCGAGGCTCCCGCCTCACCCGGCGTTCGTCGGGCCCGTGCGCGCCCGCGCCTGCGGGAGTGGCCCACGGGGAGGCGGCCGTCTGAGGCCACTTGGCATCTGGGAGAGCGCAATGGGCGACGTGCGGTCGGGCCGAGGTAAAAAAGATCGAGGTGGGTTCGAGGAGGTTACCCAGATGTTCGTCGTGCTTGTTGGGAGCTCTTGTGCATCCTGGGGGAGGGTGCCCAGGAATGTTCTTCAGTGTGACCGGCGGAGGGCCTCATGTTCTTGAAGGATATTCTTCTGTCCAAGGTCCTGCCGTACTGAAGCTGGTTTGCCGCATGTCCATTGATCCAGTGATCTATGTGATGTTGGTCTGTTCGATGTTCCATATCCCCCCGGAAAAGTATCTGCAGTATCAGCGTAAGTATGTATGTGCACGCTCCCCGTTACAGATGACGCTTCTGTGCTGCGCGACGTGTGCTTAGCGCTTGCGTGCTTGATTGTTCCCCTGTGCAGTCGGCACATCAAGGAAAACATCGGCCTGTCAGCAGGTGCCCAAAGGACATGTCTTGTTCCCCGATGGCCCCAGAGGCCCGCAGACGCCGTGGGGCACCTGAGGGCCCTCGAAGATCGACGAATAATGTGCCCCAAGATTTCTTACCATACGATTTCTCAGACACTGATGTTTCTGCGCCTGGTCAAGCGTCGCCTGGACAGAGGGGGGACTTTGCGTTTGAGTTTCGGAGCCCCGTTCCCGGTCTTCAGCGGGGGGATGCGGGCTGCCCATAGTGGGATCGCGTTCTGGGGCATGACAGCGAGGCACTCGTGACCAGCGAGTCCTGCATGATGCGGCGGCCCTCCATGCTGCCTGATCTCTTGTCGTATGCGTCTGCTGCATCCTTCTCTCCCCTCGTGGATGCAGCCAGCCCTCGAACCTCGAGCCCTCCCCCCCCCCTCCTCCCCCCCTTTCCTCCCTGCTCCCTGGATGGCCCGCCCCCCGGCACCCCGCCAGGCGGAGGAGGACAAGGCTCGGGCAGTGCCAAGAGGGTCACCACCTGCGGGGGGGAGTCACCACCTTGGTGAGGCTTCTGTTAAGTCGGGCCTGTCCCTCTACAGGAGGGATCTTCAAAAATAGACAGAAAATAGTATGGGGATAATTTGTTTTACAATTTTCGAGCATCTTTGAATTACTTCTGACTGTTTTCAATTTTCCGCCCAAGTCCCCCTGTAGGGAGACAGCCCGACCTAAGGCTTCTGGTGCCGCACAGAGGCAGCCCCCGCATGTGCCCCCGGCGGGCCTCCAACGGGCTCCCCGAGGAGCCTTTGGGCGATCTCAGCGCCCAGGCGCCGCCTCCAGTGGTTGTCCCGGGAGCGGCAAAGAGGGGGGTGATGACCAGGGTGATGGGCGTGTTTCCCACCACTTCCACCATAGGTTGGATGGGGAGGAGGAGGAGGAGGAGGAGGAGGAGGTGGAGGAGGAGGAGGAGGAGGAGGAGGAGGACCCTCTCTCCCTCCAACTTATGGTGGTGGTGGTGGAAGACGGGCCCATCATAGGGGGGGATTTCATGGCGGGGGCCATGATATCTCCCCAGCTCTCAGTCTTTTTTCAGTACGTCCCCGCCCCCCCCCCGCCCCAGGGCCGCGCACACGTCGCCGGCCATGATTTGCGCCCCCCCCCCTCTCGGACGCCCCCCTCTGGGCCGCTCCCGAGTACAAGGTGTCGAGACTGTCCTGGACTGCTCGGGGGGCCCGTTGAGGCCAGCAAGGAGTGCCTGCGGGGGCTGCCTGTGCGGTACCCGACGCCTCGCCACACCGCCTGCAAGAAGGCGAGGGCCGCGGAGGTCGGCGGCGAGCCCGGGGGGAAATGGGAAGTGAGGAGGAGCGGGCCTTCTCAGAAGGCTTAGGAGTCCTCAGGCCTTCCGAGAAGGTTTCTGGGCCTCACCCGACGACGCCGAACAATTCTCAGAAGGCCGGAGGGCTTCTGAGGAGCCCTGCCGCCATCTGAGAAGGCATTCCCCTTCTCCCTTCTCCCCCTCGCTTGCGGCCGAGAAGGAGGGAGGATCGAGGACCCGATCCTGGGAAGTTTGTGGGGCGTCCTGGGGGGCTCGGGGGGGCCGTCTCTTGAAGGAGCTGGCCCAGGGAGGTCCGCCCGGCCGCCCCAGGCGGCCGAGATCACTCAGAATCGGCTCTCGATCCCCGAACGTCGGCCTTCAGGAAGAGATGGCGACCCTCCAGCGTTCGGGTGCATAGTCCAGTCGAGAATTCCGCGTCATCCTTCTCAGTCCGGACCGATCCGGCCTACAGGAATCGTGGGCTTTTGTCTGAGCCGGTCTGGCTCCATGGCCCCTCCATCTAGCCCCTCATCGCTCTTACGAATCCGAGGCGGGAATGTATACATGACCGCTGCCTGGAGGGTCAGTTTTCGGAGCCTCGGCAGGCGGTGGATATGGACATATTCGGGCCCCCAGGGGCCGAAATGTATCCATATCCACCGCTCGCTGGCGCACCAGGGCGTCGGTTCCCAGGCGGTGGATATGGATAAATCCCCGCCTCGCAACGAAGACCTCCCAGAAGTTGCCTCCTAAACAGCGCGTGGGCCAAAAGCACTTTTCCGTATCTGCGGCCTCGCGGGCTGGGCCTTTTGGGTCGCGACCCGCCGATCGGGGGCGTGTGTTTTCACGGGATGCCCCGCGCGGAACGCATCCGTACGACCGCGTATTCGCGGGAGCGCGCCCCGAAGCCAGACCGCGAGGTCGCGGATGCCAGGTTGCGAAGACTTCCTGGAAGTTTCGACGCCATCATCGCCGCGACAAAAGTATGGTGTGGTTTGGATACAAGATGATGACTGCTGACTGGCGGAGTGGGCGGAGTAGCATTTCCTCCGCTCGGATAAGCATCCCCCCCATTTGTCATGATGGCAGAGTAATTCTCGGTCCCGTTCTGATAAACGACGTTCCAGCCTCACACCTCATGCCTGGCCCATAATCGTCCGAGGCGGGAATTTATCCATATCCACCGCCTGGAGGGTCAGTTTTCGGAGCCTCGGCAGGCGGTGGATATGGACATATTCGGGCCCCCAGGGGCCGAAATGTATCCATATCCACCGCCCGCTGGGGCACCAGGGCGTCGGTTCCCGGGCGGTGGATGTGGGTAAACCCCCGCCTTGCTCTTCGGCGCCGCCCAGAAGGAGAAGAAGAAGGACGGCGGCTCTGGCAGCGGCGGGCCCTGAGCAGACGCCCGAGCCCCCACCGCCGCGCCGCGCGCGCGCGAGCCGCCGCCGCGCCCGCGGGGGCTCGCCAACGACCGCCAGCGCCGAGAGCGTGCCGGGGGTGCCCAGATCGTCCCGAGCGGCCGCCGGAGACCCGAGTCACGGCACGGTGGGGGCATTGTATAAGGAACACTCAGGAATCCAGGGGCTGGAGGCCGGAGGAGCTCCACTCGAAGCTTGGCCATGAATATCACCGCCGCCCTCATCAGAGGAGGAATCCTCCAGGGGCTGAAGCCTCCTGTCGGGTATGGCCAGGACCCCGGGTAAGGGGACCCGGTTAGTGGTAGGGCCCCGGAGCCTTCGGAATTGGCCAGAATCACTAAACCAGGTTTGCCATAGCTGGTATTTTTTCGGGTGACGGCAGTTCCGGTTAGTGGAAATGGGACGGGGGGGCGCCCCCGGTACAGAACACTAAACCAGGTTCCATTAAACCCAGTTCTACCAACGTTCGATCCTGGGCACATTCCTTAACCAACGCCCACACCGTAGAGGGAAACAATTTGTGAACACCCCCCTGCCCCCCAAACTCAAAGTTGGCACGCGCGGGGGAGACTGCGGTCGAGGTGCAACTCATCAGACCCACCGCCAGCTTCGAACACTGGGGGGAGGGGGAGGCGTTCACAGATGAATGTGGCATGAGTGTTCATTTTTTCCGAGGCCTGTATTGGTTCGAACACGGATGAAGGACCCAGACCTATAACGTATGGAAAAGATCAGGGCGGCGGTCTTGCCAATTTTTCGACCGCGGGGGGCACTCTCTGGGATCCTGGGGCGTCGAAAAAAAGCGTCGGGATGCACAAACGGCCCTTGTGAAAGGGTTGAGGCCTCCGAGGACCACACGTTAAACATTACCGCGGGAAAGCACCCTGATCGCAGCTGAGGTGAAGAGGCGGCTCGAGGAGCACGAGGTCGGCTGTAGAGATCAGGGTTGAGAGCGTGGCCATGTGCACTCTCTTGCTTTTCACCACGGATCGCGGCCTTCCAGATAAAATTGTAGCCGGCTTCAGGCGAGAGTACGTTTTCTTCTTGGACCGTGGGGGCGTCTCTGGTTGACCCAAAAGGGGTCCATGTTGTGGGTTGCAGTGGATTTGGGGCGGGCACATGTATTGCTGGATTGCCGCGTACAATACATGAGTTGCAATACAATGCAATAGAATTCTCTGGCGCAGTACATTTGCAATCCAATTGCCCCAAACCTATTGCGCCACCCCCTTTTCAGCAGGACTCTCTTTGGGGTCCACCAGAAATGTCTCAGGCGAGACGGCTGCCAGGCCGCTTTTCGTAACGGGCAGGCTCGGGCGCCCCGTGCACCCCGTGAGACTCCTTTCAAACAAAGCTCCGAGAACCCCTCTAGCGAAACGCTGTTAGGGAAAATCAAGACACAGGATGTCTGGGATAGCCGGCTCCTTGCTGGCGTCCTCGGAGGCGTCGTCGTCGGCGTCTTCGACGACATCGTCGCCGACATCGTCGGCGACCTTCGGCGGCGTTCGTCGTCGCGCTGGGCGCCGTCGGCGTCGTCGACGAAGTCGTCGTCGGCGTCTGACGCCGCCGTCGTCGTCGAAGAAGGCGTCGGCGGCCACACGTACCCAGGACGCCTGCCTGGCAGCGCCGAAGGAACCGTTGGCCACCCGATTCCACCGAGGCCGTTGTGCCGTGGAGCGGAGGGCCCCGCCTGTTCTTGACCTGCGGACCTGTACTGGTGGCCGCAGGCGATTCGAAATGGCGCGGCGCGGGTGGGGTCGGCTTCACTCTGCGGCAAGCCCCGGGGGGAAGTGAGAAGAGGCGGGCCTTCTCAGAAGGCTTGGAAGCCCCTTGGCCTTCTGAGAAGTTTTATATGCCTCCCTCAGAGACGCAGAGAAGACCAGAGGGACCAGAGGGCTTCTGAGAAGCCCCGCCGCTTTCTGAGAAGGCCTTCTCCTTGTCACTTCCCCCCCTCGCTCGCCGCCGAGTGACACTTCGCCAGAGTGACCTTTGTTGTGGTCCCACACGGGTCCCCCCAGCACTGGCTTTCGTTCCTGGGTTTGGACCCCTGGCGGTCCCCTGAAGCCGCAAACGACAGAAAGGTCACTCTTGCATTAGGGTCACTCTAGCGCGTGGTCAAAAAAAAAGGCCTTCAGCATAAGGAAGCGCGGCCATCGAAGGCAGAAACAGTCTGAAGGGCAAGATATTCGAAGAAGAAACTAGGCATGAACATGAACCTTCCGAGCTTCGTTCGGGTTTCTTCAATCTGCACTGGGTCCCCCTGGCGGCTCCTTCGGCGCCGCCCCTGTCGAGCTCCGCGCGCCAGGGGGGGAGGGGGATCCAGCGCCGATCCAAGAAAACCTCGCGGACATCCGAAAGCTTATGCTCATGCATGCTTTGTTCCTCTAAGTCAGCAGCGCAAGAAATCACAAAAGTCAACACACATGAATGTAACTACTCTCAACGTTTGCTTTACTGAAGGCACGAAGTTGTGGCTTCAGCTTCGTTGCCCCGTCAATGTCATAGACGGGGGTCCTGAAGTTTCTCGCCGCCCTCGGCCTTGGCCCTGGGCAGAAGCACGACTCGGGATGAAATGTCGGCCCGGGGGGAGGCCCAGGCAGAGTCAGCGGGGGTGCCACCACCAGGGGGGTCGTCGGCTCCTCCCTAGGATCGAGGTCCGAGGGCCGAGGATCGAAGACGTGCTGGACGAGTTTGGGGCGTGCTGCGAGGTTCTGGGTGGCCCCTGAGGGGGGCCTGAGGAGGAGGAGGAGGAGGAAGAAGAGGAGGAGAAGGAGGAGGAGGAGGAGGAGGGGGAGGAGGGGGAGAAGGAGGAGGAGGAGGAGGAGGAGGAGGCGGAGGAGGAGGGGGTTGGTTTGGGTGGCCCTGAGGGGGCCTGCCTACTCGAGGAGGAGGAGGAGGCGACCCTCCTCCCTGGTGGTGGGCCCCCCGGGAGCATTGCCCGGAAAGCCTGAGCAGCGTCCATCGGGGGCCCCCAAACTGGGTGGTAACCGCACCGTGTGGTGAGTCAGTGGGGATTCGGGGTCACCGCACGGTTTTGGGACTCGGGTTCCTCTCCGAGGACGTCTCGGGCGACAGGGGCCTCCAGGGTTCCAATACCGTGCGGTGACTGACCGTGCGGTGAGGTCTTGAGGGATTTCGAGGTCACCGCACGGTCTGTTACCGCACAGTCTCGGGACTCCAAAGTCCAGCCAAGACGCCAAAATTCGAAGCAACTCGGGTTCGAAAGGGGCTCGCTGTTCCTTGGGTCACTCGGTGGCTGTTGCTGCAGAGCTCCTCGTGCACCCAGGCGCGATTTGGGGCCATAAGTTTCTCATTCAGATGTCGTTGTGGAAGCACGATGATTGTATCCGACACCTGTTTTCCCGCAGGACCTTCGGGCCCCTATCCTCTCTCCCAGGGGTATGGAATGGCATGAGCGCCTCTTTCGGAGGCACCTGCCCGTCTGTGAGTACGGCAGGTTCGCGTCATGTCGACCAGCGACGACCCCGCCGCCGGCGTTCAACGTTGAACGCTGCCGGCGGACCAGAATCGGTCGATGCTGAACGATCCTAACGTTTCGATCGTTAAAGGCTGAACGAGCCCCGCGGTGTCGAGAACCCACCCCGGGGTCGACGCGACACGGACCCACCGTAGGACCGTTCAGCCAGCAGGCAGCCTTCACTTGTCTTGCTGTCCTGCTCTGCCTATCCTCTTTATGCTCCTTATTCGTCCTTATTGTTCATCATCTGGTTCCTATCTTACCCCTCCATCTTCCCAGATGCATCCTCTCCCTGTTTGCTCCTTCTCCGTCCCCTCTCTCCTCCAAGTTCCTCCAGCCTCCCGTTGCTACCCAACTTCCCATCGCTTCCCACGTGATGCTTTAAGGGAAGCAAGTCATGCGGTCATAAAACAAGTCGAGCGTCAACCTCATTTTTTTCTGCGGCGTCCACACTCCTGCTGCCCCATTCCTCCTTACCCCCGCCCTTCCTGTAAACCCACTTGGGCATTGCCTGCTGCTGCGTACCAATTTTTGTGCTCGAAGAAGAAAGCTCGCTTGATCTGATTTGGACGGCAGATTGATTCACTTGCGGGTTCCTGGGAGGCGCGACGCATTGAAAGTGGCTGATCTTGCATACTCAATCGGCTATCTAGTTGTTTTTGCACACCTCTATATACTTATACATATATACTGATTTCCCAAAGATTGTTTGCACTTAGGTGTTCAAGTTTCTTTCCTAAGGATCTGGCCCTTGTTGTCGGTCTGGCGGTTATGTTGTCGCCGTCGCCGCCCAGTCGTTGCCTCGTCGCCGTCCGTCGTCTGGGCCTGGTTGTCGGTCGCCGCACTTGTTGTCGCCGTCGCCGCCCGTCGCCGCTATCCGTCGCCGCCCGTCGTCTGGGCCTGATTGTCGGTCGCCACGTTTGTTGTCGCTCTCGCCACCGTCCGTCGCTGCACGTCGCGTGTGCCCTGTTGTCGGTCGCGGCGCTTGTTGTCGCCGTCGCCGCCCGTCGCTGCCGCCCGTCGCCGCTGCACTGCATATGTTTCCAATATGTTGTATTGCTCTTCAGTGTTTCGCATTGTGTTGCGCTGCTTTGAGTTGCCCTGCCTCGCTTTGCTTTGCGTTGCATTGCTTTGCGTTGCGTTGCTCTGCGCAACATCCATTGCACCACACAGATTGCACCACACGTGTTGCACAAAATGAATTGCACAACGTACGTTGCACAGCCACTTTTGCGCAACGTGACGTACACCGCAGATTGCACAACATAGACTGCACAGTATACATTGCCCTAGCTGTGTTGCGTCACATTGCTTGTTTCACAAATATTGTGCTATATAGAGTGCACACCACGTATTGCACAAGATAGGTTGCAATCGAACGTCATTCATTCTAAAAGAGTATTAGGATCAACTCCCCGCCCCCTGGATTTAACGAGCCGCCTTCCCGTATCCAATTTACATACGACTTTGCACCATTCTCTTTTCTACGAAATCTGAACGC